TTTAGGAGTTTTAAAGTTTCGGGTTCTTTTGGATATCCATTTAAATTCGGGTTCGGTTCGGGTAATACCCATAACCCGAAATACCGTAAAACAAGATCCATTCGGTACTTATGTCGGGTTCGGATCGGTTCGGGTTCCTTTTTATCGGGCCGGATTCGGTTCGGATTTCCGGGTTCGGTTTTTTTGCCCAGCCCTAGGAATAACCAGTAGTCCTGCTGACTCAAACCAACCAAAATTTTCGGTTTTAGGTTTGGAATTAGGTTAGGTTCGAAAAGCTTTTGAAAACCAATTCGGTTACCAGTTCGATTCGGTTTAAAGAACCAAACAGTTAAGCAATTAAAATTTCATCTTTTTCAAAAAAAAATCGAATGTTAACCAGTAATCAATTAAACTTAACCAAAAGAACTCGATCTAAACCAATTTTCAATTTTTAAAAATAACAATTAGTGAATTTTGGTTTTAATGAACCAATATTAACAGATAACCGAACTGAACCAAATTATTATTCGCTTAATTTTAGAATTATTTTAAATATTTTGGTTAACCAAAAAAACAAAACTTTGGTTTGGTTGGTTCGGTTTTGAAAAACCGAAATCCCACAGACTAGGAAAGAACCAAAACACCGACCATATAAGAAAAAAAGCTGCCGGTTTTGTCCCCACCAATCAGTCCCCAACTTGTCTACTTTATTTTTTACCACCCAATCAAAACACTTCCCCTTCTTCACCTTCACCCTCTTTCTCAAGTTTACAACAACAACAAAAGAATTGTTTTTTTTTTCTCCATTGGGATCCGTGAGAAACAGAGGAGAGGATAAGCTAATCAATGGGTTCGATCTCTCTGTCTAATTCTCTGCCCATAACTCGACTTCCACTACATACATCACTCAGTCCATCCCTTATCTCCACTTCTTCACTTCCTCCTCTCTCTAATCCTCGTCGCCGCTCCTCTTTTTCACCGTTAGTCTCCGCCTCTGCCGTCTTCGCTGCTCCTTCCGGTGTTAATAACTCTGTTCCCGTGAGTACTTATTCAACCTTTTTTGTATTAAAAAATTGAAACTTTGTTTTGTTTTGGTTGAGATCATGTGTGAGATTTGTTTGTGTGTAGGGTAAAAATGGAGGTTACACAGTTGGTGATTTCATGACAGGGAAACAGTATCTTCATGTTGTTAAGCCTACAACATCTGTTGATGATGGTAAGAAAATTATGTTAAACATTATAACAATCTTTCCTTGTTGTAAGTCTTTATGATGATCTGTCTTTTTTTTTCTTTTTTCTTCTTGAAATTTGTAACAGCATTGGAACTTCTGGTTGAGAAGAAAGTAACAGGCTTGCCTGTAATTGATGATGATTGGAATCTGGTATCTACTTACTTTTGAAGGTGTTTGATTACAATATGCTTTTATCTGTATGAGAACTTTACTTACTCCTATGCGGTGATTTTCCTCTGTAGGTTGGTGTTGTTTCTGATTACGACTTGCTTGCACTAGACTCCATTTCTGGTAATGTCTATACAAGTTTAACTTTTTGAATCTTCTGTTGGTTCTGTTTTGTGTGATGCATCACAAAAGTATATGGTTTTGGTATCAATGGATATTTTAATCAGTTAGTAAGGAGTTAAGACTCATAGTTCGTGTTGTATGATCTCAATTTCTGGACTATAGGTGGATTTTTTAGTATTGTTGGCACATAGTTTTCTTTCTTAGTTTGGTTTATGGGTTTGTTTGGTGAAGTAACTTAACCTCTTGAGTCTTGTCTTTTTGGAATTATAGGACGCAGCAGCCAAAATGATGCAAACATGTTTCCTAATGTCGACAGTTCATGGAAAGTACGTTTCTATACTTAATCCATCTTGTTTGCTATATATGTCTGAGGACTAATGTGTGTTTGGCCCCAACTCTCCTGGAAATTAGATTAGTATATATGATATTTGGACATGTGTATTTTTGTTACCAGACGTTTAACGAACTCCAGAAGCTGATAAGCAAGACACATGGAAAAGTGGTTGGAGATTTGATGACGCCTTCTCCTCTGGTTGTCCGTGGTTCTACCAATCTAGAAGATGCTGCCAGGTATCATCCTTTTTTATCTTTGAAAGAAACATTTTGTTTATAAAGATTTGTAAACCATTTGTTGTTGTCTCAAGGTTGCTACTGGAAACAAAGTTCAGAAGATTACCAGTCGTGAATTCAGATGGAAAACTGGTGAGAGAATCATCTCAAAGTCATTAATCTTTTCCTCTTCTTTTTTATTTGTATGATCTGACCTTTGTCCTTTTTTTGTTTGGTGGCAACAAAAGATTGGGATTCTTACAAGGGGGAACGTTGTAAGGGCTGCACTGCAGATCAAGCGGGAAACCGAGAACTCACCCTAGCAGCAGCTGTTATAGAGCAGAGCTCTTAAACCTGTCATATAGTTAAATAGCAAATATGTTGATTCGATTGATAAAAAGTATATATAATATGTACCCATCCATCCCCTCTCATTTGTCTACCTCCACTAGCAATTTGTTTCCTTTAGGAGTAAACATTTTCTGAAACTCAGACTTCAAGACACTTAATATCTCATACATATACATAGTCTTATGGATGATGATGCGCTTGTGGCTTTTCTCAGGAAGCACTCTAGGTTGACATGTATGCAAAATCAGGAAGCATAACGTTAAATAAATAGACCAAATACTTCCTATGTTTCAATATAATCTATGTTTTAGAGTTTTCACACATTAAAAAAATAAATTAATTATGTATAGTTTCTATGATTAGCTATTTTCTATAATTCTTAGCCAATTAAAATTCAGTAAAAAGAATTAATGTCATAAATTTTTAGAATTTATATTTATTATACGCATTGAAAATGTGAAATATATTTTTTGTAGAACAAAATATTTTTCTAAAATATGGATTATATTGAAACAGAGAGTAATATTTAAAAAAAAAAACCGCGTAACGTTAATGTATATATTTATGTAAAGGAAATTTGACAAAAAAAAATGTAAGAGGAAGTTAAAACTTAAGGTAAACGCCTTAATGATAACGCGTGTTTCCTCTTGAAAGCAACTTCAACGAAACTCAAAAGCCTCTGACTAAATCTATATAAATAGTAATTTAAATCACGGACCTTGTCTAAAATCAGCTCATCATTATCATCGTTACTTTTTCTCTCAGATCTCTTCAAACCCTAGCAATCGAATTTTTCTTTGGTTCCAAATTCATGTCGACGATGGCTGGAATTCAAGGCCAGATCCTCGAGGTCACTGGTTAGTACTCTCAATTCTCTTTTCACCTAAATTCGATTCTCAGAAAGGCTAATTTCGTCTTTTTTTTTTTTTTGCAAGTGGTTGGGTGCCAGAAACTGAAAGACACGGAGTGGTTTTCAAGACAAGATCCGTATGTTGTCTTAGAGTATAGTGGTACAAGACACCGTACACGAACCTGCACAGGTTAGGTTCAGATCCACACACCAAATTTTTTTTTAGTGTCTTTTCTATTTTATAAAAATTACTAATTTTTTTTTTTTTTAATTTGGTTATTTTAGATGGTGGAAAGAACGCAGTGTTTCAAGAGAAGTTTGTGTTCAGTTTACTTGAAGGACTTAGGGATCTTAAGGTTGCTGTTTGGAATAGTAACACACTCTCCACTGATGACTTCATTGGCAATGCTACGTATGTTAAGTTTTCATGTTTTGTGATTTACTAATACTTAGGTTTGGATTTGGGAATTGAGTCTTTTTTGTTTGTTTGTTTGTTGTGATTAGGATTCAGTTGCAGAAGGTTCTGTCTCAGGGGTATGATGATTGTACCTGGACTCTTCAGACCAAAACTGGCAGGTAACTTACATTGTTTTTCTGAAAAAAAATGTAACTTTTGCTTTCTGTATTATCATGTTTGTAACTACCTAGTTGCATGGTCTATATTGGTCTATCTGATTGTTTGGTGATGGTGTGCTCATTATGAAATAAACCCTTTTGTTTTAGATTTGTAGCAACATATAGTGCTTGACTATATAGTTTCCAAAGTTTGGTTGCTACATTTGTGTGCTTTCTACTTAAGTGAAGATGTTTAGTTTTTGCCACTTATTTATGGAAGCACGGTTTTATTTTGTTCACTGATAAGAGTGTTTTATGTGGTTTTCTTGTCATCTTTGCTTTTAGTAGAAAAATTCAAGATTTTCTATTTCAGCGAAATTGCACTTTGTTTGTGTTTTTCCTTCCTAATATATTGTGATGAGAGAGAGCATCTTGCAATATACTCATGTTTCAACACTGATCAGACTCTACCATTCATCAAATTGAGTTTATGACTGGACGTACTACTGAGATTTATCGCTTGCTAGGTTGCCTAAAATTAGAATTGAATCCCCATTAAAACGCGCTAATGTCAATTAGAATCAAGAATTTGTTTAACCATTGTGGCTATGTGTTTGATTGGAACTTTCCTTATCTTATATTCCCTAAAAGTCAGTTTACAAACAATCTGCCAAGATTTTGTTAGCTTGTTCTCAGTGTTTGCTTGCTCCCTGCAAAAAATAGTTATTTGCTTATTAAATTCTTCTGAAAATGCATTTCCTCTCCGTCTTGCAGATATGCGGGAGAAGTAAGACTAATACTGCATTACGCAGGCGCAAAGGTAATAAAGTCAAGACTTAATTAACAACATTGAGTTACAGTTTTTCATTTATAAGATAACAATCTGTTTCTTTTATGCAGAAACAAAACTACGGCTCTGCACCATCAGCACCACCGTATGCGCCTCAAGCACCTCACTACTCTGCACCGCCTGCTCCATCTCCATACTCTTCACCACCATACTCTGGACCATCTCCTTACCCACAAGGTCAATACTCTCAGCCTCAATCAGCATACCCACCAGCTTCAGCTTATCCTCCTCAGCCATCTGCGTATCCTCCTCCTCCTTCATCTGCTTATCCTCCCGCTCCTTCAGCTTACCCTCCAGGTCCTTCGGCTTACCCTCCTCCTCCGCCATCCTCAGCTTACCCTCCTCCTCCATACCCTCCTCAACCCTCACCATATTACCCACAAGGTACTTTTAATACTCCTTTTCTTCTGATCTAAGGTTTGCTTGTTTGTGATTTGGCTGTGTTTCCTCTAATCATTTGGTTAAAAGTGTATTCTTATTGTTCTCTCCAGGTCCATATCCAGGACAATACCCGCCGCCTCCGTACTAAAACTCCGGCGTTTAGAATTGACATGAAAGTGGTTATGATGTATAGGTCATAATGCTACTAGTGACATGCTATTCCTAGAACTTTGTGACGATTTTTTTTTGTTCTTTCTTTTTATCTTCTTTGTGCTTTTGTTGGCCTTTGCGAAATGTAGCGTAATGGTTAGTTTTATGCTATGATCAGTGAGACTCATTAGGAAAGCTTGGATATGTTCTTATTAAGCTAGCTTGCAGGTTATGTTGCAAAATAATCGAACTATTACCTTAAAAAAGACCTATATTGTGGGTGTGTATGTGTGTGTGTGGTTCATCCAACATCTTTAGTTACATACAATTCTTAAGAGCTTGTTTAGACTATGATTAACTGGAATTTTAAAATTGTATTCTTAGCAAAAGTTAAGAACCTCCCTAAGAACCCCGTTAATATGTTTTGCAGTATTTTAAAAATCAGTCTAGTATGGTTTTCAAAAAATTTAGTACAGATACCTGCTTAAACAGTGTTTTTTTATTTAAATAAAATGTCTAATCACGTGGAACTATACGTGTTCACAGCAGCTAATCTTGGCACTGCTCAGTACTGGATTAGTATATATATCTAGTCAATGTTTATCCAGCCTGATATTTTCAAGTCTTTAACAAAACATTGTTGACAATTAGCAAAAACAAGTAGTAGAATCTTAGTAAGTTAGCCGACAGATTCTACTGCACTTTGGTTTCTCGATCTCTACTCGTCCACTGAGTTAAAAGTAGGAAAAGTAGGTTCATCCAACATCTTTAGTTACATACAGTTTCTTAGGAGCTTGTTTATGTTCTGCAGTATTTTAAAAATCAGTCTAGCCTGGTCTTTCAAAACGAGTTTTCAGAAAATTAGTACCGCTTAAACAGTGTTTTTTTATATATAAAATGTCTAATCACGTGGAACTATACGTGTTCACAGCAGTCATCGCTACTGCTCAGTGATTAGTATACAATATATATATGGAAAAAAGTTTCTTAACTACACGAAAATTACACTAATATGGTGGAAATCATCTAATGTATAAAAATGTGTCAAGAACTACACGAAATATATGTTAATACATGCCACATATACGAAGTAAATGATATTATGATGGCAACATCACAATCGAGTTTAATTGATCTTAAGCTAAGTTAATGGGATCAATCCGTAATTTATGAAACTTAACAAAATTAATTAATTTTAATTATTAAAGTTAATAAAATAATAAAATTAATAAACATAATATTTTTTAAAAATGTGATAAAATTAATAAACATAATAAACATAATATTTTAAAAAAATTTGAGAAAATTAATAAGCATAATATTTTTAAAAAATTTGATAAAATTAATAAACATAATAAACATAATATTTTTTAAAAAACTTAAAAAAATTATTAAACTTAATAATTTTATTAAACTTAATAAAATTATTAAACTTCATAAGCTTAATAAACTTAACAAACTTAATAACTTATAAAAATTAATAAGTTATTAAACTTAATATACTTAGCAAAATTAATAAAAATAATATTTAATAAATTTATTAAATTATTAAACTTAATAAATTTATTAAATTATTCTGTTTATTAGTTTTAGGCTTCTAGCTTATTAAACATAATAATTTTTAAAAACTTAATAAACTTCATAAACTTAATAAGATTTATTAAACTTAATAAGATGTATTAAACTTAATAAATCATTAAGTTTATTAAGTTTGTTAAGTATATTAAGTTTAATAACTTATTAAGTTTATAAGTTATGAAGTTTGTTAAGTTTATGAAGTTTAATAATTTTATTAAGTTTAATAAATTTATTAAGTTTAATAAATTTATTAAGTTTAACAAAAAATATTAAGTTTACTAATTTTATTAAGTTTATTAATTTTATTAAGTTTTAAAAAATATTATGTTTATTAAGTTTATTAATTTTATTAACTTTAATAATTAAAATCAATTAAGTTTATTAAGTTTCATAAATTACGGATTGACCCCATTAACTTAGCTTAAGAACAATTAAATCCGATTGTGATGTTGCCACCATAATATCATTTACTTCGTACATGTGACATGTATTAACATATATTTCGTGTAGTTCTTGACACATTTTTATACATTGGATGATTTCCACCATATTAGTGTAAACTTCGTGTGGCTGAGAAACATTTTCCCTATATATATCTAGTCAATGTTTGTTTATCCAGCTTGATATTTTGAAGTCTTTAACAAAACATTGTTGACAATTAGCAAAAAAAAATAGTAGAATCTAGTAAGTTAGCCGACAGATTCTACCGCACTTTGGTTTCTCGATCTCTACTCCACTGAGAAGTTAAAAGTAAGTAAAGCGGGAAACAGCAAAAAAGAAATTACACATAAGAAAATGAAAAATAGAGAAAAAGAAAAAAAGAAAAAAAAGTAATATTGTGATAGTAAAAAGACAAACGTGAAAACATCCATAAATCAAATCTTCTCCTACTCACTCTCCTTCTCACTTCCACCTTTTCTCCTCTCTCTCTCTAGTCTCTCTTTTGTAGCTCCCTACTACATAGAGAGGAAGATGAGTCTCTCTATCATCTTTATCTTCTTCTATGCAATGCTCTGAGCTCTATCTACCTAATAACCAAAAGAGAAAATCCAACAATATTAGAAGATCTTTCTTCTCTTATTCTTGAGTTTATCCACAATGGCAATTCTTAAGGAGGAAGAAAGCAGAGAAAAGCAGAACATTTCGTCTCTTCTTGATGCTCTCTACTGCGAAGAAGAGAAATGGGAAGACCAAGAAGAAGAGAACTCTTCCTTTTCCTCTTCTTCTACTTCTCCATTGGTTCTTCTGGAGCAAGATTTGTTGTGGGAAGACAAAGATCTGATCACTCTCTTCTCCAAAGAAGAAGAACAAAGACTCAGCAGCTGTCTCGACGATCTTTATCTCGACACGGATCGTAAAGATGCCGTGTGTTGGATCCTAAGAGTCAACGCTCATTATGGTTTCTCCACTTTGACTGCTGTTTTAGCCATAACGTACCTAGACAAGTTCATGTGTAGCTGCAACTTACAAAGAGACAAACCATGGATGCTTCAGCTAGTCTCAGTTGCTTGTCTCTCTCTAGCTGCTAAAGTTGAAGAAACCCATGTCCCTCTTCTTCTTGACTTCCAAGTAAAACAACAACACTTTTAGATCATTTACCTTAAAAAAAAAATTAGTTATTTTAGTCTCATCTTTCTAATTCTTTTGTGGTTTTGAAGGTGGAGGAGACAAAGTATGTGTTTGAAGCCAAAACCATACAGAAAATGGAGTTACTGCTCCTCTCTACACTCCAATGGAAGTTACATCTCATTACTCCACTTTCGTTTCTAGACCACATCATCAGGAGATTGGGTCTTAAGAACAACTCTCACTGGGATTTCCTCAACAGATGTCACTGTCTCATCCTCTCTGTAATCTCCGGTTAGAAAAACGACAAAAGAAACCCCATCATCTACTGACATCTGAGTAAAATCTTACATTCTTGTGTGTTTTTTGTTCAGATTCAAGATTTGTCGGCTACCTCCCATCAGTTGTTGCAGCAGCTACCATGATGAGGGTTATAGATCAAGTTGAGGAGTTTGACCCTCTTTCACACCAAACTAACCTTCTCAATGTCCTTAACATAACCAAGGTTTAGCCTCTAATCATTCTACTAGTAATCCAATGGTTCTAAAAATCGGTCCTAACGAAATGATTTTTTTCAAAAAATAAGAATTATACTATTCAAATCGAGTTAAATAGTTTAGATCAATTTAAATAGTTTAGATGAATTAGATTAAATATTAAATTTAGTACAAATTATATTAAAACAGAAGTACAAAACAATATTTGTTTATTTAAGTGATATTTTCTTACAAATTTTTATTACAATTCATTAATTATTTTTTATTTATAATCATTTAATTTATTATAATCATTTCATTTATTCTATTTATTTTATTTATTATCTTGCCTAAATATAAAATTAGGATGAAATCGGTTTTGATGTACACAAAATTTAAAATATCCAAAAATTATGTATCCAAAGATTCTGACAATGGTACCGAAAATAATAGTTTCGAATATTTTTAATCCAAACTAAAATAACCTAAAATAACAAATAAATCAAAAGTAATCATATTATTTGATTTGATTCAGATTAGATTTTAATATATAGCAACTTAAAAATATTCAATTAACTTATATAATGATACATAAAATATAACACCAATTATTAAAAAAAAATATCAATTCATGTCAATCTCTAGTTTGTTTTAAATCGGCTTACTGTTAACCTCTGTTTCATTGAAGCATTTTAACGAAAAACGTGCATTTAACAGGAGAAAGTGGAAGCTTGCTACAACCTCATCCTCCAATTACAATCAGATCACATGGGTTTACACATCGAAACCCAATCTCGCCGCAAACGCAAAAATCGCGACTCATCGTCGTCGTTGAGCAGTCCAAGCTGCGTGATCGACACAAACCCGTTCAATACCGACGAAAGCTCAAACGATTCGTGGTCAGCGACTTCTTCGCCTTCGCCACCGGTGAAGAAGACGAAGACGGAGAAACCGATTTTGCATCTGCCGTGGGCGATCGTTGCCACTCCTTAGCTCTTATTTCGCTTTCTACGTTTTATATAAATGTTAGTTTACGTTTTTTAAAAAGTTGTAAAATGTCTCAAATACCCTTACTCTACGGCTTGATACGGCGTGTGTATGGAGGGTATTCGGGACATTTGACTGCATGGGAATGCGATGAAGAGAGTAGTAATAATAATAGTCTTTGCGTAAACTTTGAGGCTTTTGCAATCTTTGGGACTTAATCTCCGGTGTTTTTTATATTTTGTTGTGTTTAATAATTATATTCACATGTGAATTATAAATACGATTAGGATGGAGTTTGCATAGGGTTGAGATATGAACATACACTTCGATCAAGAAAAACTAGAAAAATTGTCAAATAAATTATTATTAAGATGGAGAATACTGAATAGGTGATTGTTTGGACTTTGGAGTTTGAAATTAGCTGGTGATTTAGGGTGTTTAAATTAGAAATTAACCGAGTTAAGTATCTAAATGAAAGTGTTTTTGGATACAGTGAGATGTTAGACGACATTTTTTGTTTTGTTTCGTCCGGGATGATGAGTATAATTCAAATGAGATCATGTTTTTGGATACATATATTTTTTGTTTTGTTTTGTTTTATTTTGTTTATGATTGAAAACGAAGGATTTAGCGTTTAGGCTTTGACTTGTTGAGAAGAGCCAAGTATTGTTCTTTTTGAGTCAGTCTTTAAATATACTGTTTACCGTATATTGAGCCAGTCAATAATAACAATTTTATAAGATGAGAAGAAAAACAAAAACTGAAAGTGCAACAGTATTATTGATTTTTAGATTCTTTCTAAAAAGTCTTTTCAAAATGAAACCTGCTCTACTTCTGCTAGGTGCGTAGAAAGTAGCAACTACTCCCAAACACATTAACATGACAATACAGCAATTAATATCAGCTGCATAGTATTACAAAAATGTGTCATTACAAAAGTGCTCCAAATATTAATATGCGAGATAACTACGGAACAGCTGCAGTGTGATTCCAATAATAACAAAACATATAAATATATAGATATATTTAGAAATTTTTGTTATTGTTAACAGTGTTGCGTTGCACTGCGACTAAATAGATCAAACTATAAATGAATAATAACTAGCAAACAAGTCTCTTTTATTTAAAGGTCGGTAACTCAGAAATTAGCAACAAGTCTTTTATTAATTCGTTGAGTGGTGTTGGACGACAAAATCTGGTGCAGCAATAACACTAGAACCAAAGCAACCTGCTTCCACTCTGAGCACCTGGGATGAAGCCACGTGATTATAAGCTTTCATCATTCACTATTCTGCGCATTCAAGTCGATAAGCAAAATTAGTTGTAATGACAAAATGAAATAATCGTCTGCCATAGTTTCCTTTTGTATCACGGACAAGCTTATATATGATAATACGTTGTGTCACTCAAATTATTTTTGATTTATTTTGAACAAGTGCCGTCAAGCTTTAGGTGGTGAAATCTTCTCTACTTCTTTTTTAACCTTTTCTTTTTCCAATTTTATTTCTCTTTGAACATTTTCCAACAAAATAAGATTGTTAAATCTCTACTTTTTTCACGTGTGATACGAATTTTCTTTTCCCTTTCTTTCTTTCTTGATTTATTTTTCTTTAGTTTTCCCTATTTATTTCATTATTTAGGGGGGAAATTGCTTTAATGTGTCGTTTCTTAACGCTCAGCCACACGTCATCAAAACATATTAACTCCTCTTGTTCATGCAACCGTATAATACGTATACGTTTAGCATTGTTCGGAACAAAAAAATACGGTCCCTAATTTAACTATATATATATATATATATATATACTTATGAAAGGTGAGAACAATTAACACACGTATAGATCAAGTATCAAACTAAGCACAATATCATTGTGTTTCTTTCTTCGTATAAATCAGCATCCTTGGTCAAGAAAAACACATTCATAAGCACAATGTCAATAGTGAAAGTTTAAGATACTACAATTTTAATTATCTGGAGCAGTGCATGTAGCTACAAAACGAATGACGGGTGAGAAATGATGTATGTGTATCATGTATGTATGTGGGAAGCGTGAGGTTTTCAAAATGGGAGACCAAAAAAATCTTCCTGGCTATTCCATTTCTATATAAAATTTTAGATAGTTAAATTGTTTGTGGAGAATGTGTTTTCTGTCTTTTTGTCTCTTCTATTGGTGTTCTCATCTTTAAGGTATGTTGTCAATATCATTGTTCCATACGCATCTCGTGAACCAATATAATGACTTGACTTTAATTATTTTGTTTCTGAAACAAAAATAAAACGAACAGAAGAGAAGAAGATAAATTATTTGTTATCTTCTTTATGTTTTTTATCTATTAATAGTATTCTTCTCAATTGAATATTTCATTCTCGCATTCCAGTCTATCATGTGAATCTGTCTTAGTCAGATATGAAATTGTTAGTATTAATAGGCTAATAGCTGTGTTAAAAACTTAAAATCGATGGTTTTATTGAAGAAAAAAGGGTCGAGTTACTAAAATAAAACCAAAGTATATTTGTGTTGGTAAAAGAAGTAGGGGAAGGAAAACAGCTTGCACCCAACATGGAAAAGGGCAAAGAGGTCAATGTGTCCCCACACTACAATAATTATGTAATAATATTATTATTCTATATAGCTCTGTGACCTTTATATATTTCTTCTTTTGAGTTTTGACTTACATTCTTCTTTTTCTTTTATTGTAATTCGAAGTTAAAAGGAGAATCTGGTCGTATCGAAATGTTTATGCCGGGACAACAAAACAAAATTTTATAGAACTGCATATGATTAACGATTTTGTTGCTTTCCATTTTTTATAAAACTTTCGGATTAGTTAAGTATTCAGGTAAATCTTAAGTGGAGTTGAATTATGGAAACGCTTTTCATTCTATTAGTTTAATATCCCATGTTGCACTATTTGCAAATTGCAAAACATGTCCATACACTATTTGCAAATTGCAATTACCTATAAGAGCACAGTTTAGTTATTAATGGCTAAACGCATGTAAGCTTGGCTTGCCCATGTTTGGCAAGTAGATATTGGAGGATTTAACTTAAACAGATGGGCATGAATAATTTTAAAATTTTGGCCACTCCGCTGTTCAAAAAGTGATGTAGGTCATGATTGTTTGCTGGAGTTTTCATTTTGTAACAAAATTATTATAATATATTAATACTAATGTAAACTCAAGGTAACAATAAAACTGGAAGCAATAGAAATACTATACATGTACTTCTATTATTACTTTGCCACATGCAAATGCAGTCATCGACTGATAAAAGTGTAAGCCATTCAAATAGTTTCAACGTTTACACATATAAAGAACACACGTCGTTTTGAGGTATGCTAAAAGAAGTCTTTTCTTTTCAACATGTTAAAAGAAGTCCTTAAGTCACTAGGAATGACTTGAATTATTCTTTTTTTTTTTGACGATTTGATTGAATTAAATCAAAGTTAGTATAGACTATACATTTTAACTTCACTTTTACAATAATATTATAAGTGCGTAGACGTTCTCACTGGTCAAGGTTTGTTTTTTTTTTTGTAAATTAAACTGGTCAAGGTTTGTTGGCAAAAAAAAATCACATGCACTAAAAATTAGGACATGATTAGCTTGGAAACAAGGAAGTGGTTGTAAACAACAACCAAAAAAAAAGTGACAAAGGCGCATTCTCAAATTTGTTGTATATGAATCTGTATTTACACTTTACAGCTTCAAAGACTATGAAGGTTAAAACAAATTAATCACTCGTACAATGCAGTGAAAAAAAAATGATTTACATCGAGAAAACCATATAAAAATATATTGGCTCGTATACGTATATACTTTTGAAGTGTCTCACAGTCACAGCTATGAGAGTAGAATTGGGGTTTTGATTTCATATGATTCAAAACGGTTTTGTAGTTTCTTTTTGGAAAATGGATACAGACTGATTATTATCCATAGATATCATACTCATATGTCAGTATCAGCCTGCCTGGAGTTTCAGTTTGCAATTTAGAAAATAACTCTCATGTTTTAGCCTTTTAGTTACTGATTTTGTAGGGCGTATCCAAATACTTCAACTATAGTTGATAAACAAACTGACCATATATTAACAATTAATATCTTTATCCGAAGAGCAAATGTATTTATATACTAAAACAATACTTAATCACCAGATAAAAGAAGTCATCCAAAACGTATTTATCAAATTTCTAGGTATAACACGTGAAAATATATAACAATTTGCAAAACTTCCAAATCATATTTTCACAAAAAAAAAAAAAAATTCCAAATCATATGTAAACTAAACTAGATGAGTTTTGCCATAAGTTTTTAGGTCAGTCGACGTCTACATTGAATTTTAGAAAGATATAATAAACCTAAATGCCGACTATTAAATAAAACTTAGAATCAACACAAATTAAACATGCAACACAAGACATTAATGGGATGCATATAAATCTATACATGTTCTAATGATTAGTAATTAACTGATCAATTATAGCAATATTGATGGCGAAATAAAAATTGTAAAATATATACAAGGGCATAAATTAATGAAGTAGGACCGAATGAATATAAAATGAAAATGAGGTGTAGTGTGAGCTGCGATTTCAGAACCTACACTATGGCCCGTCTCCTTCAAACAAATCAGACTGCAGGTCCCAAACAAACCCTTGTTCTATTTCGTGATTCACATTATTGTATGCTTTTATATCCACACTTTCTTATACATACATGTATAATCATGCGACTGTTTTATCATTATGACACTATATACTACTTGCTTAACTTATCCGTATGCATATAATTTTGAGCTTTAAATACCAACTTCAGTTAGTTTACCATACCCTAATGAATGTCAGATATATATAAATGGACATTGATGAGAGTATATTTTTAGGTTTTCTATCAAAAGAGTAAATGATCAATAAAAACTTTGCTGATATAAAGATACCTAAAACAATGTTGGAACTGGTATCCAATGTGGTACTTGTGTATCCATATAATTAAATTTTGGTCACGATCTCATATATGAAGCCAAATCTAGTTTCACGTTTTCACAAAGAAACATCAAGAAACATACAAAACTTCTCCCCAACACTTTCTCCTTTGTTTTGCATGCTATTGTCGATTGGAGCAGAACAATTTCTGTTTGATAATATACCATTTCGAATGTAGCCATCTCGTAGTCATTATTATAATTTACTTTCACATACACTTTCCATGCATACAATATAGTGTACGATTACGAATGTTGACTTAATTTATCAATTGGTTTCTATCTACTAGACATCATTAGTTTATTAACTGGATTTTAAATTTGATATCTATCCAATATTGGGAATTTTGATTTGTTTTTGTCGTATTGGAGTAAAGGTAATCATCATATGGTACAGAATTTTAGAGGAGAAATATGAAATTCACGAGATATGTAAAGTTTGTCCAAATTCGTGGACAAAGGATTCACTATGACTCAGAATCTTGTTTGTTTTCTTGGTTCATAAATAAGAAGAAGACATATACGTACGTGTAATGCATATTATGGAATTGGCGGTTGGATCATACGTACGAATTACTTGAACGAGTAACTGTCAGGATTTTAACAGAGAAGAGAATGATCAAAACTATGCCAACATATATTCAATAAAGTCAGAGTTTCTTTTCATTTTTTTCTTCATGAGTTGTAATTTTTCAACCTCTTTTTCACCTAACATGACTACATTCACTTGTCCTTAAAATATTTACTGAATGTTACTTTCATTTTTGTTATATAAACCGAAATTAAAGCATAACAATGTAAGCTTTGTAAGAATGTGTATCTTTATGAACCTTTGGTACATTCAAAATTAGCTACCGATATTACAATTAATCTTGCATGTTATTGAACCATATTCTTCCAGATAAATTATGCAAGAGCAAGGGAGCAACCTAGAAAAAAGAAGAAGGCGCTGTTAATTACCTACAAACTTTTCAGTACATTATGATAGCCAATGAATTGTAGTATAAAAAGGGTAGAATTTTGATTACAATTATTATTTTAATTTATTTTAAAATTGTTGTTTTAATTAACCTGAAAATATCACGAACTTATACAAGAGTCCAAAACTAATCTCTCAATAATTGTATAAATTATTTTTAAATTGTTTCTCGAGATATAACTATATTATATCAAGTATATTGGTTGATGGTGCGATATTAGATATGTTTTAAAGAGAGAAATTAGATATGTTTCTAGATAGCTGTCGGTAGAGATATATGCTCTTCTACTTTATGATTAGCATGATCGATTTTGACTGTTTGTATTATTATTGAAAACAAGCACAAAACTGATTGTCTAATCTCTTCATGCAAACTACATGACTATAGTTCCTTGAAATGGTATTGTTGCAATTACAGTAAAATGTTAGATGGTCATATTCAGTCCGCCTGGTCCAACTAGGATCGAACATAGCAAAATAGAAACAATAGCGAGTACAACACATGAATATACTTAGACCAACTTGACCAAGTGATTGAGTCAATATGAGTGTTGGACGGGTCATTAGAGCATTTCTAATGGGATTTTATCCATTGGAATTCTTAAAATACATATATATATATATATATATATATATATATATATATATATGTTTATGTAGATGTGAAGTCCACTGATATAATTTTATTGTAATCAAATAGTAGGTTTGAGATTTTTCGGCCTAAACGTTAAGTTCTTATGCGATAAATAATTTTTTACCTAAAATATTTTTAAAAATGAGATTAGCTCATCAATAAACAAAATATATAATTAACCAAAAAAAATTTAAAGGACAAAAGTACTAATTCGATTAAAAATCTATATTTTATTTTTCATACTATTTTTCTTAAATAATCTTATATAATTTTTCTATGAGCAAATCGCAGGTCTTATCTTAATATCCAATTACGACAAGATATACATGTGCAATGGTAATACAATGTACATTGTTAATCATTACATGGAAAAAACCATTTTTTTTCCTTTCTGGAAAATTTTATTTTAAACCAGAATAGCTTGACATGGCAAAAAAAAAGAAAAAAAAAATCAAAGTTGTTTGACTTGTTTTCTTACATTTGTTTACTTGAAAATTGCATTTTTCGGATAAAAGTTGTACGGACAAGAAAAAAAACTTAAGTAAGTAATCAAGTATCTAATAAAACAAATATCCCATTTTAGTATACAAAAAGATTCATTACATCTTGTAAACAAAATTGTTCATTCAATGTTTTTATGGTAGTGTTCCCATATCATAATCAGCCCAAACCCAAGAATAAAACACCATACATGTCATGTCACTACTAAGAGAACGGCCCAATCCCAATTATCATAATAAGTGAGAAAGAATAGGGGTATTATATTGTAGTTTACAGCAAATAGAAGAAAAAAAACTGTCAGCGTCTGACTATCTTGATCATTCATTTGTCTTCTCCCTTCTCGCCTGCATCCTTCAGGTCAATGATGCTCCTCTGTGATCGGCTCTCTTTTTCATCAATCATCTGATTCAATAACGTTTGGAAAATAGAGATTGGAGTTGCGTATGCTACTACTTGATCATTGTTTTAGTTCTTCTTCTTCTTGACATTTCATGTAGATTCGTTATTGTTATTGCATCATTCTCAAAAAAAAAAAACAAGGTCAATTATGAGTAGATGAAGACAAACTTGGGAACAGATCTTTTGTTTGTCCTAATTAATTTTATGCATTTTGTGTAGGGATTAGGATCAGTTTCAATATAAAGAGGTGTTAAGTTTCTCAACTATCCATGGATCAGGCTGAACTGTCTATATATGGGCCAGGTTGGTCATATGATGTTTTTTTTTTTCTTCAGATGCTGTAAGTGTGATTGAATTGTAAAATTTTGACAAGCATTTGAATCTTTGTTGTTGTTGAAAAGGGACATTCCACGGGCCAGGAGTGAATGTGGTCAGCTTTCACCTTTTTCTTCATTTTATACCAGACTATTTATTAATGCATCAACCTGTTTGACAGCAAACCCAACACAAGCTCGTTTATTCCATGAAGAATCTTTGGTACATGAGGATACTTACGAGCCTTTCTTGAGGTGAGTCCCTATGTGATTTTTTTTTTGTTAGAGTTGAGTTGCATTAGATGAATATTAGAGTGAATGAGACGAGCGTTACAGTTTTGTTGCCAATTTACAATGCGATGATATACAATTGGTATGATACAAATATTTGAAAATAAAGAGATAATGTACACACACAAATAAAATCACCAAAAACTTACAAATGTTTATTATTGCTTGTGAATTTCCGCTAAATTAAACTAAATAACTCAAGCCAATGCAACGTAATCTTTTTTACGCAGTCGTCAAGTTCCGATAGATCTATCAGCCCAACCGCAACTCGAACTCACCATGACAGAGCCAGCTTGTCTAAGATGAGCCACGATGACTAGTGAGGCACATTTTAGCACCGTATTGGGGAGCAAGCCGAACAATAAGAGTATTGCAACTATCAGGCAACCCACTATGCCAAATAATGCTCGTGGCAGAGCCAGTTGGGAGTTATATGTTGTCACTTTCTTCACATGATTTTTTTCACGTCCGTCATCAAATTGATTAGCGGTTAAAACTTTCTCAACCTCTTTAACGACCTTCTTGATAAACTTGGCCTCGGATCTGTGAAATGCACAACATGTACTGTATCTTAATGTAAGAAGAAAAAAAAATATAGATAATAATTTTAAAATTTATTTAGAGAACTATGCGATCCTATTAAAATTAAAAAATTAATAATTTGTATATATATAGAGTAACATATGAAATACTTATAAACTAGGTGATTTTTTTCACGTCCTTCATCAAATTGATTAGCGGTTAAAACTTTCTCAACCTCTTTAACGACTTTCTTGATAAACTTGGCCTCGGATCTGTGAAATGCACACCATGTACTGTATCTTAATGTAAGAAGAAAAAAAAATATAGATAATAATTTTAAAATTTATTTAGAGAACTATGTGATCCTATTAAAATTAAAAAATTAATAATTTGTATATATATAGAGTAACATATGAAATACTTATAAACTAGGTGATTTTTTCCGTGGTTATGCACTGGTATATATATTTATAAAATAAATTCTAATTTTATTTTAACTCTTTTGATAATTTTTGTGTGATTCATTAGGTTATTTTAATTATATTTGTAAATGGATATGTAATATCTAGTTGGTTTATTTCTTGAATACATTAGGTTGTTATTACTTGAATATATGATTTGCATTTACTTCTCCAATTTAGCCATAGATTTTTTGTGTTGAAATAGATTAAAATTTGAATAATTTTGTTCCCTGCATTTTGATTTTGAGTATAAGAATTTAAATAGAGTAAGTTACTCAGTTTGTGAGTTATATTGAGTTACATACAGGTTCTCAAATCAAAGTATGACTACTTTTGATTCTATTTAAACTAAACTTCATTAATTTTTATTAATTAATTTCATTAGTTCGATTCTTCATCTTAAATATGTAAACATACTTTAATATTTTTTTGTTTAATTTGATATTTGTTGATTTGTAAAAATAGTAGGAAAAAACTGAAGTGATGATAAATATAAATTTTTATAAACGTACCAATAAATTTTCAAAAATTAATATCAATATTTATAAAATATTTTTCGTAAATTTTAAATAAATTTATATTTTGGATGTATAAAGACAATTGAAATATCATAAATAATCTTAAATATAAAAATCGAATATTGGCTTATGTGCTCTTATTATATGTATATTCTGTTGTATAAAAAATAATTAAAATATTTAGCCTTAAAGAATTTTTATTTTTAATATTAGGGTTGACTAACGGTTGTAGATTTTTTTTTCTTTGGTAAAAAAAAACTACATAGAAATTTAAATCCGTTATAAAAATTAATAAATTTAAATTATACAAAATTAATAAATATCTCAATAGTAGCAATTATATAAAATTTATGCAATTCTCCCTTATTTTATTATAATAAACTGTTTAACCTGAAAGTGATTGCGTTACTTGTTCTACTCTTCTTGCACCTTTTGTTTTTGTTTTTTAATCTGATTATGTTTTTTCTGTGCACCAAATTGATTATGTTTATATATCCTAAATATAAACAGAAACAACTAAAATCGTTAAGCTTTGACTTTTTTTTGGAATAGGGGTGTGTGTATGGTAACCACAAAGCGACAAGACAAATCTGAAGAAAGTCACACGTAGTTCTTTTTATGAGCGCCCTTGTTTAAAATATTTAATGTGGAACTCTACATAAATTAGGGAATATTCTAAGGTTCGAATGAATAAGAATAAAGTGTATATATACATACCTATTGTGCTCCAGCGTGAGGCCAATCTTGTTAGAAACAGCCTTCAAAGACACCTGCCATTTCTCTATCTCTTCACAACTGTATTCTTCAGTCAGTCTCCAGAACTTATTACCGAACTCTCCCTTCTGTTTCCTCACTTCTTCTGGTCTTACCTTGTAGAAGATTGGGATGACAACCAATTCTTCTCTTTCCGCTTGTTCCATGATTGTCCTCAGCTCTTCCAAACACCATCTTGATTCCCCATACCTATTCACAATAGTTATGTTCATTCACTAACGAAAAATCATTACAATGAAAAGTTGTTTGAGGGTGAGCATTGCCTTGTGGATAAGATAACCAGTGCGACTGTCGCCTCTTGGATCCTTTTAAAGAGGTGCTTCAGGTCTCTGCCCTTTTGTTCATGTGTGTCTATGAAGAACTTGATGTTGTGTCTTTCCAAAGCATCTATAAGGTGGCTGACGAAACCATAACGAAGATCTTTTCCTCGGAAGTTGATGAACATTTGATGGACCGGGCGAGATAGAATGGCCATGAAAAGGAATGTGATAAGGCTTTTTTCTTCTTATCCAAAGGAATTGAGTTGATTTCACTGGTCTTTGGAGGTTGTATATATATTTATGCAGTGCATAGGAGAAGACAAGCGAATCAAGAAAGAATTGATGGATATATACTTTCTCGGTAAACAGAAGTAAGCATTCAACAAATTAAATAAAAACGGCCAACGACATACATTAATAAAAAGTCGACAAATTTATGCAGTGAAAGTCAATTACTTTTTTTTTTTTTTTTTGAAAGTCAATTACATAATAAGTTCTGTTTTTGATACATGCGTAGACTTCGTTATATTTTAGTTATTTAAATATATTTTTTATATAACCTGGCGTCGTCTGGTGCTCATGTATAAATGGGTTGTTCTACTGGCGTCGTCTGTGCCCACCGTATGGGATCCCACTTTTAAGAAAACATTAATAGTTTTTTTGTGATACTGATTTTTGAATAGTTTTAGAATTGAATATCTCTTACTATATTATTTGTTAAAACTTTAACAAAAAATTTACATTTCTAAAATTTATCAATGTGATTTTTTAATATCATTAAATATAACATATTTTTATCTTTTAATTTTAATTTACAAATAAAAACTAAACTAAATTTAACTGATAAGTATACTTATGATAATAAAATTAACTAATTTTTGAAATCTATTTAAAAAGACCCTAAAAGATTTTAAGAGGATTTTGTTATTGTTTTATTTAAGATATTTGTATTTTTGAATAAAATAAAGATATTAAAATATATTATGATTAAGTTATGTTAAAATTGATAAACTTTCTAAAGATGATCCAAATTGGAAAATCAGACATTAAAAGAAGTCATGACTTATATTTTAATAATATAAATCAGATCTTAAACCGTACAATCGTGAATTTTTTTTTAATATTAATTTTTTAAGTTATATAATAAAATTTATAAATATAATTTGATTTTGTATACTCTCTATTTGTATAATAATTGTTTTTCGTTTATAATGTTATTACTCTAAAATTTATAAAATTTGTATTTTTGTAATAATTTTTAAACAAAAAATTATTATGTAGCATTATCAATTTACATATTTTGTTTTATTTATAAATTTTGAAATATATGTGAAAATTAAATTAGTTTGCAAATATATAATAGAGAAACAAAATTTTGGTATAGTGTTAAAATTATTTTACATAACTTTTAGTTTTTGTTTAGAAATCAAAATAATTTTTTTTTAATAATTAAAATTTTAATCAAATAGTTTCTGAAAATATATCTTAAAAAGATTCTAAAGGATTTTGTTAATTTTAAATAAAAATTAAAGATATGAAAATATATTATAATTATGTTATGTAAAATTTAAAATTTTTATAAGAATTGTCTAATTTTAAAAAAAAAATCACACATGAAAGAAGTCATGATTTCTATTTTTATAGTATAGACTAGATCTTGATCCGCACGACCGTTCGTGTTTTGGGAATAGTAAAATATTTTAGTTTATATGTTAAAAGTTATCAACATATTAATATAATTGGATGTTATATATTATCTAACTTTAATAATTTTTGTTTTGCTTACAATATATTACTATAAAATTTATAATTGCATTATTTTGTTAAATAATTTTTAAAAAAACATTATTATGTAACAATAGTAATTATTTTATTTCTAACTATGAAATATATGTGGAAATTAAATTAAATTAGACCTACATAATAAAGAAGCAAACTTTTAGGCTAATTTTAAGCTTATTGTACATAATTTTATTTTATTTTTATAAATAAAATATGAATTAATTTTTAATAATATTTTGTGATAATTAAAATTTCAATTAACTAATTTTTGAAAGTATATTTTAAAAGATCTCAGAGGTTTTAAAAAGATATTGTTAGTTTTCATAGAAATATTTTTATGTATTTCAAATATAAATTAAAGATAAGAAAGATATTATAATGATGTTATGTAAAATTCAATAAATTTTCTAAAGATGGTCCAAATTAAAAAATCACACAGGAAATGAGTTATGATTTTTCTTTTAGTATAATAAATATAATCTATCAAAATCTTATTATTTTGTTTTCTTTTTAAAATATATGAAATATATAAAATAATAAAATACTATTGGTTGGAACCCAAGAAAAATTCTTTAAATTCTTTGAAATTGTACTCTAGATTAAAATCCCTAAAATCTTTGTAGAATATGCTAAGGCTTTTTGTGTGTGTCGGTTACTCGGTTTCCACAATCATAAGTTTGTTAAACGGTAAGTAATGTTCAAATGATTGTGTATGTTTCATGTTTCACATTTTAGAAAGATTCTTTGAATATGCTATAATGGGGGCACCTAAAAATAAAATCACACGCTTGTGGTTTGTAAATGCATGTTTCATGTTTCACATCTCTTAAAGCGTGTGATTTTTGTAGCCCAATTTAGTTTTTTCAGGCTCATAAAGTACATAATCGGCCCAAGCCCACTAATAAAATATCATCTCACACTACTCAAAAATAAACAGCCCAATACCAAGGACCGTAATAATTGGGTAAAAATAAGGGTAATATCGTAATTTACCGAAAATAGAAGAAAAAAAAACTGTCAGCGTCTGACTATTTTGATCTCTCCTCGCAGATCCGAGCTCTCTCTCTCTCTATCTGTCCCTTATCTTTTCAGAACAAGAGATCATTTATTCTTTCACTCTCTTCTCCCTTCTCGCTTGCAGCCTTCACAGGTCAATGTTGCTCCTCTGTGATTGGTTCTTTTTTTTTATCAATCATCATTATCATCTGATTCAATTGATTTTGGAATTGCGTTTGCTTCTTGATCATTGATTTAGTTCTCCTTCTTCTTAGACATTTCATGTAGATTCGTTATTTTTTATTACATCATTCTCGAAAAAAAACAAGGTCAATTATGAGTAGACGAAGACAAACTTCGTAACATATCTTTTGTCTTGTCCTAATTATTTAATTGGCTTTGTCGTGGTTTCATCTTATGTGTAGGGATTAAGACCAGTTTCAATCTAAAGTGGTATTAAGTTTCTCAAACCATCCATGGATCAGGCAGAACTGTCTTTGGAACAGGTTAGTCATTTAAATGTTAATGAATTGGAAAATTGTTTGACAAAACATTTTAATCTCTCTGTTGTTGTTTTTACTTTGAAGGTGTTGAAAAGAGACATTCCATGGGAGACTTACATGACAACTAAGCTCATTTCAGGTTCTGGTCTCCAGCTCTTAAGGCGCTTTGATAAGAAACCTGAAAGTGCAAGAGCACAGTTGCTTGATGAAGTAAATCTTCTTACTACTCATTCTTTTTTTTTTTTTTCAGACAGTTTATAGAAACACGAGTTAGTTTCTCTGTGTTCCAGAAACCGCCTAGAACGATTAATTGGACGCTTAGGTTATTAGTTAGGCGATTCATGCGTTTATAAATTATTACAATATGTTTAACATTGAATTTCATTATTCACAAATGATAAAATTCATATCATTTTATTGTTACAAGAGTATATAGTATATACTATAATATATTAATTATTAAAATTTATGAATGATAAATTATATATTATTTATTTTTTATAATATTGTAATTGTCTAGGCAGTTTGAAAGGTTATCACCAGAGTTTATAGGATCTAGTGAACACTGGTTATTAATTTGTTGAAGTTGTATAATGACTAGACAAGCAGTTACCTTCTGTCATTATGAAGTGATATGTTGTTGCAGGATGGTCCAGCTTATGTTCATCTATTTGTTACCATCTTACGTGATATATTCAAGGAGGAAACAGTGGAATATGTTTTGGCTTTGATTTATGAAATGCTCTCTGGTAAGTAAATAAATACAACGTGAAAAATATTTGCAATCACCTTTTTCTTCATTTTAAATACTGACTACATTATTAATGCATCAACTTGTTTGACAGCAAACCCAACAAGAGCTCGGTTATTCCATGATGAATCATTGGCAGATGAAGATACTTACGAGCCTTTCTTGAGGTGAGTCCCTATGCAAAATTTTCAGTTACATTTTTGCTGTTTATCTTCAAAAGGATGCAAGCTAAAAGATATTTCTCTCTCTTTCAGGTTGCTGTCCAAGGGAAATTGGTTCATTCAAGAAAAAAGCTGCAAGATCCTTGCCTGGATCATAAGGTATATTGTAATTCAATACTCCTTTATCATACTTTATTAAACATGTCTCTAACATACATGGCTCTTGCTCTTGTTGACATATAGTGCTAGGCCAAAAGCTGGTGTTAGTGCTAATGGAGAAGCCTCGGGTTCTAAAAAAACTATTACTACAATTGATGATGTTCTCAATGGGTTGGTGGAGTGGCTTTGTGCTCAGGTTCTTCTTCTCCTCCTCTTCCTCTTTGTTTTATTTCTAGTTTATGTTGGCCCTTGCATTGTTATTTTAAGTGGTTGTGATTATTGATTTTGAAATGCAGTTGAGGCAACCTTCTCATCCAACTCGTGGTGTCCCAATTGCAATCAACTGCCTGTCAACACTGCTTAAGGAACCTGTTGTCAGATCATCGTTTGTTCAGGCAGATGGGGTGAAGTTACTTGTCCCTCTAATCTCACCAGCATCCACTCAGCAGTCTATCCAGGTAAACTTTATACTTGGTGGAAGTAGTTTTAAGTGAAAAAGTGTTCACTAAAGCTGTAGAGAAGTGTTGCATTTTCCATATCATGCAAAGTCTTTGGTGGAAAGGCAATGATTAGACAGACACTAATTCTTTGTGTGCTCTTGGTCAACAGCTTCTCTACGAAACATGTCTCTGCATCTGGCTTCTGTCCTACTATGAACCCGCTATAGAGTACTTAGCAACATCCAGGACAATGCAAAGGCTCACGGAAGTGGTTAAGAGCTCGACTAAGGAAAAGGTGAGCTACCTGTTGTTAAATTTCATATGACAGATGCACTTGTTATGTTTTCTCTGACGGTATATTGTCTTATAGGTTGTCAGGGTGGTTATATTGACATTTAGGAACTTGCTTCCGAAAGGAACATTTGGTGCCCAGATGGTTGATCTTGGACTCCCACATATCATCCACAGTTTGAAAACACAAGCATGGAGTGACGAGGTTAGATAAGTTAAACACATAGCTGAGTATATGCCTTTGTTGCAAGCATTGCCAATTGTTTAACTCTTGGATTTTTAAAGGACTTGCTGGATGCACTGAACCAACTAGAAGAAGGGCTAAAAGACAAGATCAAGAAGTTGAGCTCCTTTGACAAATACAAGCAAGAGGTTCTTCTTGGCCATCTTGACTGGAACCCAATGCACAAAGAAGCCAATTTCTGGCGTGAGAATGTCACTTGCTTTGAGGAGAATGACTTCCAGGTTAAAACACGTCTCAGAATGTTTATCTCATCACAAACACAACAATCTTAACCACTTGGTGTGGTTGCAGATACTCAGGGTTCTCCTCACAATCCTGGACACGTCAACTGATCCAAGATCATTGGCGGTGGCGTGCTTTGACATCTCGCAGTTCATACAGTACCATGCAGCGGGGAGAGTGATCGTGACAGACCTCAAGGCGAAAGAAAGAGTGATGAAACTGATGAACCATGAGAACGCTGAGGTTACTAAGAACGCTCTCTTGTGCATTCAGAGGCTTCTCCTTGGTGCTAAGTACGCCAGCTTCTTGCAAGCTTGATGAGTTTCTAAAAGCAACCAAAACACAGACACAGTGTTTCCTTTTCTTCCTGTGTATTTGTTGTTAAAACCTGCCCCCAAGACCACCTCTTCTTTTATTATTTTGTCCTAAAGAAAGTGCTACTATACGCTTAAATAAATGTCTCCGCTGTTTATTTTTCCTTTTGTATTTATTTATTCAATAAAAGGTATGGAGGAATGCTATTGGTACAGACAGCAATCTTGGGACTGCTTGTTGTATGACTGATGTGAGTGTTTCAGTGTAAAGCAGATGAGATTATATGGTGGCATCTTCAGACAGATTCATGCATTCTGTGTTTACAACTTTATTATCATCTTTCAGAATTACACAAACAAACATACACATACGTTTGTAAAGGTATTGATTCCTTTAAACAACTGGAATCATCACATCTATGACATCTGCTTACTATGATTTTATGGGATCTTGGAAGTGTAATAAGCATATTATTTATGATCAGTTTTGGCTGACCAACTTATAAAGAAGACAGATGAAGTGAATCACTTGATGAGGATGCATCTCGTTGGTACTCCTTCTGCTCCAACCAATCTCAACGGTAAGCAATGAAGAGAGTACATTCCTGCCTCTACACCATCTAGCTTCAGGGCTTCCACAGGGATTATATCCTGAAAATCATGCCAACTCTCACTTGTTAACCTACTTAAGTAGCCAACTATCTCTCCCTCACCTTCTTGGTCTATGAAGTTTAATCATATCCCACAAGAAACAAAAGACACATAAAAGCCTAGCCAATGTACTCACCCTTCCTCTAAGTATAACCTTGTGAGTTGCAGGTGATTCCTCAAAAGCAGCAAAGGAAAGATAATCAAGACCTGGATTCCACAATTTAAAATCAAACCAGGTTTCAGTAAATGTAATAACAAAGCTAAGAAATAGTCTCAAGACCATAAAAAAAAATTATCTTACCAACAAGTTTGATGTCTGTGTTCTCAACCAACCATTTAGCCCCATCGGTCATGAATCCAGAAAAGCTTGAATCAAACTCTTTCTTAAACATAAGCCGCCTGAATAATAAGATGATAATTCAACCACAGATATGAGAGTAATGCTTTGGTATATCTTAACAGTGTATGGTAGATGGTAGATTTACTTGTCAGTGTTGGATGTTCTGAAGAGCACACGACGAACTCCCCTTGGAATATGAAGTGCTTCCATCACCTCAGCTATATATAATTCAACCCAAAACATTACACAAAAGATTTTTATACAAAAAAAAAAAAAAACATAACTTCCAAATTCAGTTCTCATATCCTATCGTCTTCAACAAATGTGTATATATCTACTTATGTAATAATTTGTTTTTTTTTTAATTCTGTCTATGGACTTTTTTTTTCTTTTTTTTGGTAAGAATAACTTTTTTTTTGGTAAGATGGACTTTGTTTTTCTTTGGTTATTCCATACTTGTATTCTGAATTTTTATTTTAAAGAAAAATAATTTTATTTTCTAATTTTGACGGAAAAAAACATAAATTCGAATTATCTTCAGACACAAACTCACCAGTTATGTTCTTGTCTCTCGGAACATCAACCAACAAAGCAGGACCTATAACAGAACACAAATTAAAATTAAAAAAAAAAACATCTTTTAACTTGAAAAAAAACTCGCAAAGACGATCAATCACCGTTTAGAGTTCGGAGGTCAAGCGAATCAGAATCAAAACCAGCATCGTAATACTCATCAATAAAGTGCCCTGGAGCATCCACGTGTGTTCCTGAGTGAACAGACATTTTCATCTCCGACACGTTAGCGAAAGAACCGTTCTTCATACTCGCGATCAGTTTCAGATGATTTGAAAGTCCCTCCGTTGACTCCCACGCCGGCATCTCCGGCGTGTAACGGTGGCTGATGTCGAAAATCTTTCCTCCGTCGTAAACCTCTAAGCGGTTTGGCTTGAGATCGTCGGTGAGTTTACCTGAGACGACGAGGAGAGATGAGAGGAGGAGGAGGAGTGTGGCGGCGAGGCAGAGGAGAGGGAAGTTGACGGTGCGGGTCATTGGATCGGGTTAGCGGGTTTAGGGTTTATGGATGATGGTATCGAACTATAATCAATCAGTCTGGTTGTTTGGTATCGAGGTATATATAGTGTTAAGACGTGTGACGATTTGGCTATTTTGACTATTGACTTTTGAATTTTGATAGAACCGTCAATATTGACTTTTTTAAAAAAATTATGTTTTTTTTGGTTTAACTAAATACTTAAAAAAAAAAATACATAGCTACATTTTTTTATTTTTTTTTAACAAAAAAATACATAGTTACATAAGATAACCTAACACAATTAAAAATAAACCTTACAACAAATACAAAAATATGAGAACTTTTTGTAATACCTTGATCGTCCATGGTTAATGGGCCACTCACACATGTTCACTCGGCCCGTAGATCCTATTACGTTCCAACGATCAGTCCGTTAATTTTCCAAGGTTCTAGAATTATATATATTGACCATATAATCATCACATGACTTTTTCATGTGCTTTAACATCACTTACACGGTATCGCAAATCACTTCCCGATAGGTCACCCATCCTTTGACTACTCCATCTCAAGCACACTTAACTCTAGAGTTCTCTGTGATGTGCTCTTGAAAAGATAAGTGCACGTTGGTGACATAGATAGCCAAATCAACCATCTTAAGCCTTTCCATATATCACAACTCGAGATGTTACAATTCACCCCCTCATAAAGAACGCAACATCCTCGTTGCGCCCCATGACATGTCTCAAGACGCTTCTCAAGTCATAACTGAGATGGTTAACCAGCTCTGATACCAGTTGTAACGCCCTGACCGCCCACGGCTAATGGGCCACCCACGCCCGCTCACTCAGTCTGTGGACCCATCCCATTCCAACGATCGGTCCGTTGATTGTTCAAGCCTCTAGAATCATGTTTACTGACCCTACAATCACCAAATGACTTTTCTCTGTGCTTTGGCCTCACTTAAACGGTATCACAAATCATTTTCTGATAGGTCACCCATCCTTTGACTACTCCAGCTCAAACACGCTTAACTGTGAAATTCTTTCTAGATGTGCTACTGAAAAGATAAATGCATTTTGATGATACAAATATTCAAATCAATCATCTTAAACCTTTTCATATATCACTATTCGGGATATTACACTTTTGTTGAGAAGTTTTTCAATCCTAATCATTAGATGTTCAACACTGATCATCTTCTTACGATCTTTGAGTTTATGTTACACTATAGATTCCAATATCTTCTTTTGCTGTAAAATATTGGTCGATCCTAAATTAGATATATAGATTATATTTTTCAATTAGAATTCAATCTATTAATTCATAGGAAAAAAAAAAATAAGATCATTAATTTTTAGCGTTTATACGAATATCGCTATACAATATATAGAATATAAAAATTAAAATTGGGTTCATTAATTTTCTAAAGCTACAAACTAAACATTTGTAATTTTTTACTTAGTTTAATTTTTAAATTTGATTGTATCTAGATTAGCTTGTTTTAACAAAACTAAGCGAAATTGTTTGGACAACACTCTTTACGAACATAGGACTGGTAACACATCTCACACGTAACACTCTTGTTTTTAATTTGTATATACTTAACCCAATGGTGTCGTTTTGTAAACAAATATTTTAAACTGGTGTAACACATCAATGTATGCAAAACCTGATTTTATGAGTTAATATATGGCAATTCAATTACTTTTTAAATTAATATATGTTTTAGCACATGAGATTATTATATATAGTCAACTATTCCTTTTTAAGGGATTTGATCTTTAATCTTTAAGAATTTTTTTTATTTCTTACCATATATAAAAAGTTTGGACATATATCGTATAATAGATAAAAAATAAGAACATTATTATATATAGTCAACTATTCCTTTTTTTATTTCTTACCCTATATATAAATATTTGATCTTATCACATTTTCTATTCTATATAAACGTTGTATATTGTTCAGAACATATATCTATTCACCTTGTCATCTTCTAAAATCCACACAAAATTTTCTGCAGTGATGGGTTCATTCAAGTCAGCTTTCATCGTCCTTGTAGTTCTTACTGGTAATTTCAAAGTTCTGTATAATATGGGAAGCTCAAAAACTTCACCTCTAAACTTTAGACAGTTTTTTCTATTATTTATGATTTTAAACAATTAGATTCTGTTACTTATCTTTATTACATATTCTGCTGCAGTGGTGATATCCGTAACAGTTCAGATTGGTGAGGCAAAACGTATGTTACAAGAAGAAAAGTCTCTGCCGTTAGTGGATCATCAAGACTCCAAGCTGGTTGTTAAATTTTGTCAGGATGGTTGCTGGAGCTTATGTTTTGCTACCACTTGTGGTTGTGTATGCCCTCAGCCACCAAAACCATAAACTATGATCAACTAATATGAATAAAAGATATTTGTTTTAATATTGGTTTTAACAGTTTTGATTATTTCAAAAGATTATGACACTATTAAATTGCTTTATATGGAAAAATATACTAATTATCATTATCCTACTCTAAACATTTAATTAAAATTAGTGCTTATCCCTTATATATTATTTGAGAAGTGATTTTGAAAAATGTGACTAGCACATTCATTCTCACCAAAATAATGATGACATAGTTTTCAAAAAAGATGACATAGCATGACATGTAAAATTTTCTTATAAAATTTTATAATTTTGGAAAGACTCTCTAAGTATAGTATTGCTAATAAATTTTATAATATCATTATAATATAATTTTTATGCATAAATATTTATTTTTGAAAGATTTTTAAAATATATTAATAACTAATAAATCATATATCGCCATTAAAATAATATATATATAACATTAATAAACAAATAAACTAAATATAAGTACATTGTAAAAAATTCACATTAACTTATATATCCTATTTTATAAATAAACATATATAGATTAAAATTAATTCTAAATGCGCTTTGAAATAAAAAACTAAAGTAATACTAATCAAATAAAAATATTTGTGGATAATTAATGTTTAAAAATTTATTAGCATTTATTCGTTTACTAACTAAATTAAAATTTGATTTTTTTACCATTTTAACATATTTGAAATAAACAAAAAGATCTAGACTTATTAGAATTTATACATTTAAAGTATAGACATACTTAAAATTAGGGATAAATGACATACTTAAAACAAGTAATTATTAATTATAATATAAGTAAAATATAAGCAAAATTTTGTTTATAAAATATAATTTAAAATCTATTAAAATTTAAATCAAATAAATTGATATAGTTAAACTAATCAAAAGTAACAAATGTTCAAAAAACATTTAAGTGAAATTTGTGAAATAAAAATATAAAATAATAACGTCACATTGTAAATTATTATTTAGTAAAAAATAATATTAAATAAAATTCAAAGTTACAACAAACACACCTCCTCTAATACATGGATGCGTGTTTACACTAAGGGAAAAAAAAACAAAGAAAAATCAAGAATTTAAAACCAAACAATCCATCTTGATTCAGAGCAATATAAACTCGTATATGCTCGCATATTAATACCAGATTACTTTTACCGTATTATATGATAACCGGTGGAAGCACTTGTCAAAGCAAAATAACCAATACAAAAACTAACGTGAGCTTGGTAAATAAGACAGTGGTGTTACCATTGAAGGGGAAGAGCTTACCATTTAAGGCAGTGGTGAGACAAATTAGAAATTTTGTTATGGTTTACAGAGAAAGTACCATGCAATTGGGACGTTAATGTTACGTCTCCTTAGAAAATTTGCACCAAACAATTATTAGTACAAAGAAAGCATGCACTGGGAGCTTCATATTGCGTGATACTGATATTCCCCTCTTCCCTTACATATCCGGACATGTTGTAACATCCGGTTCAACAGTGTACGCCATTGGGGGCTCACGAACCTACATCTAATGTATATATTGGGTATAAACTGTTTGTCTCATGACATCTCGGTTATGCCGAAGATGAAAGAGCCTCGCTTAAACTCCACGAACGAGAAGTTGTATGTTATGGGAGGTGGTGTTGAGTTATTCTTGGGTTCACGTCTGTATATTTTTTTAAAAAGAAAAAATCTTGTTAAGTTATATTATGTTTCTAAAAATAAAAATACAAAAAAATAATTAATAAAAACGAAAATAATTCTTTTTAAAGAAAATATTTTAACACTAAACCCTAAACACCTAAACTCTAATACTAAACCCTAAACCCTTGGGTAAATCATAAATCTTTGGATAACTTTTATAAAAAAGTTTTTTAAAAAAATAGTTTAACACTAAACCCTAAACTCTAATCCTAAACCCTAAACTCTTGGATAAATCATAAACACTAAACCCTAAAACTCTAATCCTAAACCCTAAACCCTTGGATAAATCATAAACATTAAATTTTTAAAACACTATAAGATTTATCCAAAGGTTTATGATTCACCCATGGATTTAGGGTTTAAGATTAGAGTTTAGGATTTAGTGTTAAATATTTTCTTTAAAAAAAAATATTTTCATTTTTATTAATTATTTGTTTTTATTTTTTTCTATTTTTTTTTTAAAACATAATATAATTTAATAAAATTTTATTTTCTTTTTAAAAATATTATATATGAAATAATGTAATTATATTAGATAGTAAACATAGAGGTTCACCTTAATGGGTCAACCCAAAAATAAGTCTTTTATTAAAAACACGGTTTTATAGCGGATATTTATACTAATTTTTTGAAAAACGTCGTATTGGTTAGACCCAGACTATATTAATTTTTAAAACACTGCAGAACATAAACAAGCTCTTTAGAAATTGTGACTAACTTAACCACACACATACACAACCACAATATAAGTCTTTTAAAGGTAATAATTCGATTATTCTGCAACATTATCTGCAAGCTAGCTTAATATGAACATATCCAAACTTTCCGATGAGTCTCACTGATCATCGCATAAAACTAACCATTACGCGCTACATGTCGCAAAGGCCAACAAAAGCACAGGGAAGATAAAAAGAAAGAACAAAAAAATCGTCACAAAGTTCTTGGAATAGCATATCACTAGGTATTATGATCTATACATCATAGCCACTTTCCTGTCAATTCTAAACGCCGGAGCTTCAGTACGGAGGCGGCGGGTATTGTCCTGGATATGGACCTCAGAGAACAAGAAGAATACAATATCAACCACCACTGAGTATGGTTAGCAAATCTAACATACAAATGAATAGAGGAAACACAGCCAAAATCACATATATTAAATATAATTATATAAGTAAATAATAATTATTTATTTGAGAAATGATTTTATATCATTTTATCAAAACAGAATTATTTTAAAATATCCAAAAGCATATATGTATTTAATATTAAAAACCAAATAAATAATATATGTTTAAAATAATTTTCTTTTATATTTTGAATAAAATGTATATTTCTCATTTATAAAGTATTTTAAAATAACACTTTTTAATTATGAAAATAAATATTATTATAAATTAATTAAAATTTATACAGTATTTTGGACCATTTTTTTATCCACTTTCACCATTCAAATATATTTTGCACCGCTAGATCCGCTTGACATACACTTGAACCATTCGATCCGCTTGAACCACTTTTATTCTGCTCAATCCGTTTGATACGCTAGATCTGCAACGTTTGATCCGCTTTCTCCATTCGGAGCCTTAAATCCAACCACCCCGGCCACAATTTGATTCTCTAGTCAACTGCAAGTTTTTCTTTCTGTTTAAATTTTATATACTTAACGCAATGGTGTCGTTTTGTATTATAAATATTTTAAACCGAATGAGAAAACCAAACCGGGTCTCCAACTGAGCAAACTAAACCAAATGACATGGATGATTGTTATAATATTACTGGATGATTATTTTTGCTTAGGTGACATATCTAAAAAAATTCTATTGTTTCTCTTCTTTTAATCCATTCTTCTTCACCAATTTTAGTGGAACCATCACATCCATTATCTATGTAATTTATCTAACTATTTCTTGTGTGTTGCCCTCTATTAATCTTTTTTTCTTTGTAACTTAATCCTAATGCTCTTTCAGACTTTTAAATTATTTCATTTCAGTTCCTGTTTTTCATTGTGAATATTGATTTTCTTGTGTTTTAAAATTTTAATGGATTTATAGAAATTTTTCTCCAGAAATAAATAAGAAATCAACCAAGTGGAACTTTAAACATAAAAAAGAGAAACAATACTAGTTAGTAAAAATTCACTTTAATAACATTTTAACCACCTTAAAAATTAAAATTCAAAACCTGATGAAATTGTTATACCTAAGATATATAACTTAATAAAAGCTTGTTAATAATGTTTATATATATTATTTTTTCAAATTTTTTTAATATTATCTTGTACTTGTACTTGTTTATATATCAAAATTTATAATTAGGGGCATCAAATTTTCGGTGCGCTTTAGGCGCCATTTAATTCCAGACCGACACTGACTGTAGAGCATTGTTGGATGTAATATTTTCTTTCTATTATATATAGTCAACTATTCCTTTTTAATGATTACGAAAAAAATTATTCCTTTTTAAGGGATTTGATCTTTATCTTTTTTTTTTTTTTTATTTCTTACCATTTATAAAAAGTTTAAACATTGTATAATAGATAAAAAGTAAGACGATTATTATATATACTCAACTATTCTTTTCTATTTTTTACCATATATAAAATATTTGATCTTATTACATTTTTCTAATCTATATAAACGTTGTACATTGTCCAGAACATATACCTATTCACCTTGTCATCATCTAAAAAACACACAATTTTCTGCAGTGATGGGTTCATTCAAGTCTGCTTTCATCGTCCTTTTTGTTCTTACTGGTATTTCAAAATTTTGTATAATATGGGAAGCTCAAAAACTTCACCTCTAAACTTTAGACAGTTTTTTCTATTATTTATGATTTTAAACAATTAGATTCTGTTACTTATCTTTATTACATATTCTGCTGCAGTGGTGATATCCGTAACAGTTCAGATTGGTGAGGCAAAACGTATGTTACAAGAAGAAAAGTCTCTGCCGTTAATGGATCATCAAGATTCCAAGCTGGTTGTTAAATTTTGTCAGGATGGTTGCTGGAGCTTATGTTTTGCTACCACTTGTGGTTGTGTATGCCCTCAGCCACCAAAACCAAAAACTATGATCAACTAATATGAATAAAAGATAGTTGTTTTAACGTTGCTTTTAACACTTTTGATTATTTCAAAAGATCATGACACTATTAAATTGCGTTATATGGAAAAAATATACTAATTATTATTATCCTACTCTACATTTAATTAAAAATAGTGCTTATAAAAGTACATACAACTTTACAAGAGTTGTTCAAACCTGGACGAGTTTCAAAGTTACAACAAAGTTAACAAACACACCTCCTCTAATACATGGATGCGTGTTTACACTAACAAAAAAAAAAAAGACAAATCAGGACTTTAAAACCAAACAATCTATCTTAATTCATAGCAATATAAACTCGTATCTGCTCCCATATTGATTTAAGTGGATAGGATATTCATAAGAGAACAATCGTTCGAGTCCCTCATCAATGTCTTCCACGGCTGTGTCTACTTCTTTGGATCTCTAACCAATGAACATTGAATCCATTCACTTACTTTCTCACTAATCTCTTTCTCCTCTTATCTTGATGTTCCCTTGTTCACAACGAGCTTCCCTATTTCAATTTCAATAGCTTCAAGCTCGAGACAAGAAAAGCCTTCTCATGATTGTGATGATCTATTCCTTTCTTCACAAGCTCCATAACAATGCCCCAACCTTTGTATGCTGATGATGACTCGTACTTTGTAACCCTTTTGGCGACGACAACACCGTACGTGCGCAAAAACGAAACAAGTCATAACACTTGTTTCTTGCATCATTCTCACCAAAGCACTAATCTCTTGATCATCATCACCATGCCAAACACACGTCTGTCTCTTTCCACATTAACATATACTACTTCATCTCCTTCTTGACATTTTTTTCCTGACGCCATGTAAGCATATCAAAGATAAAAAAATTCTGTAAACATTTATATTTTTGTGCATATTAAATATTTAAAACAACATTTAAATTTATAAGAATAGTCAAGTTTATAAATTTCTGGACGTATTTAAAATATATTAGTGGAATTATTATCATTCGGTACATTAGGTTAAGTAATATTTTTCATGATATTTTTAAAAATAAAACAAACTAAAATTCATTAATTTAATTTAATTTTTTGAAAAATAATATAAAATTATATGGAAAATTTTCAAATTTACCATTTTATTGATACCATTGTTCAAGTTTACCACTAACAAGGGGACATTTTCAAAAATACCTTCTTTACTACAAGTTTTATTTGAAAATTTAAAAGTTAGTTTTGTTAAAATAGGCTAATCTAGATACAATCAAATTTTAAAACTAGACAGAAAATTACAAATGATTAGCTTGTAGTTTTAGAAAATTAACGAACCTAAAAGTAATAAAAGTAAAAATTAATTTCAATTTTTAACTAAAATAATTTTTATATAAACTATAATTTCTGCGCACGTAAAAATCCTTGATAGTAATATAACAGTCGTATACAAATTTTAGTAAGTCCAGTTGTGACTTTAATTGGTTGAAACCAAAGAGAAGAAACGAGTTTTTGTTAATAGTGATAGATTAGTATACAATGAACTTTCATGTAATGGGTTCAATTGATCTTTATGCACAATGAGTAAAACTTACAAACCTTGGCTGTCAACAGTTGGAAGTTCATCCATACAAATCCTTGTACCCCATTTTAAGAACGTTGTGTAATAAATAAGATCTTTCAGAATAATTTTATTTTCTTGCCATATATAAAAGATTTGATCTTATCACATTTTTCTATTCTATAAAAACTGTATACATCGTCTAGAACGTATTATTCTCTTTGTTATCGTCGAGAAAAACACACAATTTTGTGCAGTGATGGGTTCATTCAAGTATGCTTTCATCGTCTTTTTAGTTTTTACAGGTAATATGGGAAATTTAAAAGCTTCACCTCTAAACTTTAAACAGTTTTTAAATATTATTTATGATCGTAAGCAATTAAATTGAGTTACTTATGTTTATTGCATCCTTTGTTGTAGTGATGATATCTGTAACAGTTCAGATTGTTGAGGCCAAACGTATCTTACAAGAAGAAAAGTCTCTGCCGTCATTGGATCTTCAAGTTTCCAAACTGGATAACCCACAATCGGTTGGATTTTGTAATGAACCTTGCAAACCCTTATGTTTTGAATTCAGTTGTCATTGTGTATGCCCTGAGCCACCAACACTATAAACTATGATCAACTAATGAATAAAAAATATTTGTTTTAACATTGCTTTTTATCACTTTTAATTATTTGAAAATATTCCGAGACTCTTAAATTGATTTGTATGGAAAATATACTAATTATTCATTATTCTACTCTAAACATTTTAAACTAGTGCTTATGCGTTCGTCTCTCTCTTTACATCCATCTTCCACTCTAAACATTTCAATCAAGATGATCTATTTATTTCTTCACAAGCTTCATAACAATGCCCCAACCTTTTGTGTTGATGATGACCGTAATTTGTAACCCTTTTGGCGATATTACAAGAACGACAACACCGTGCACAAGACGAAACAAGTCATAACGTATGTTTCTTGCATCACTCTCACCAAAGCCCTAATCTTTTGATCATAATCACCACGCCAGACAAACGTCTTTCTCTTTCGAAATTAACATATACCTCTTGATTTCTTTATTGACACATCTTTTCCTGACGCCATGTAAGCAAGCATCCATGTCTTGTGGATATTGTATAAAAATAAAAAATTGTATAAATATTTAAAACAGTATTTAAATTTCAATGTAAAGATAAGAATAATGAAATTTATAAATTATAGGACGTATTGAAAATAATTTAATTGAATCTTTGTCAGTCCGTTCATTAGGTTCAGAATTTTTTTATGAGTTAAATCTTTTAAATAAAACAAAACTAAAAATTTTAGTTAATTTAAAAACAAATAATTTAATGCTATTATTTCAAAATTTGAAAATTGAGTTTCGCAAAATAAGCTAATCGAGATACCAAATTTATCAAGTAAAAATAGGTTTAACAAACATATTAAAATAAATTAAATATTTAAATAAATTTTGATCAAACTGGATTATTTTACTTCAGTTTTAAATCATTATAAACACAATAAAAATATGTTAAATTGATTTCATTGTATAGATTGTTGAAATTAAAAAATACATAGGGCAGCTATATTAGTTTAGAAGAAGATTGGAAGATGACAACAACAGTTTAAACACCCCAACCAATGCTATTATTAAGGCAATGGTCTCGATACCCCCAAATTCTGAAGATATATTGGCTCAAAATATTGAGTTATTATTATATGGTTTTCTACATTTCTCAGATAGCAATGTTTATTCTTTTTAAGGAGGTTTGACCTCAATAAGTCTTTTTCCCAGTGGCAATGATCATTAGTTTGATGTATTCATATTCCTCGAATGCTTAATATATCTGTCTAAATTACCTTACAACATTAAGAGAAACAGTTAACATAATCTTCAAAATTCTCCAATAAGGTACGTATCTTCATTATTTGGACATATATATAAATTTATGTCTGTAATCTGTATTATATAAATTCAATAAGTAATACAAATTTTGTTAATAAGATTTTTTTTAATAAGATTTAACCACTAATCTTTTTTACCAATAAATAATTTTATGCATGTAATCTGTATTACATAAATTCAATAATTAATACTAGGATTTATGTTAATAAGATTTAACCAATAAAAGATTTCTGTCCAAAAAAAAAACAACTCAAAACAATGTATAAATCTACAATTTAGCACAAATCTTTCATCAATCACATAAAGCAATAGAAAATTTTGTTAATGTCGTCCACAACTATAGCCTCTACCACCGTCATGAAGCTTGAAGTTCCACCTGTTGTAACGTTGTTGATGCTTCCTGAAGAGTTACTATTGAGCTGCTTGGCCCGCGTCCCGAGATTGTACTATCCAACTCTCACCCATGTCTGCAAGAGCTTTCGTTCCCTCATTAATTCGCCAGAGCTTTGTAAGATAAGGTCACTTTTAGCTCGCACCGAGAGTTGTCTATATGTTTGCTTTCAGTTCAAACATGAACGGAACTCACAGTGGTTCACTTTATACCGGAACCCTTATCAAACCATAGATGATAACTCCCAAACGAAAAAATTAAGTGACTATAGATTAGTTCCAATTCCATCTTCAGATTCTCCTCCCTCGGCCATGTCAGGTGTTGCTGCTGTAGGTTCTGATATATATGCCATTGGTGGACGTACCATTGATGGTTTACCTTTGTCTAGCGTCTTTATCATGGACACTCACCATCACACATGGTGCAAGGCCCCAAGTATGCATGTGGCTAGGCTGTCTCCTTCTGCTAGCGTTCTTGATGGAAAGATATATGTGTCAAGTGGAGGATCAGGAAAACTTGATTATACAAACTGGATGGAGGTATTCGATACCAAAACCAAAACTTGGGAGTTTATGCCGAGTCCTGGCCAAGAGATAGGCGGTGGGTTTGAGGACTACGTAAGTGCAGCGGTGGAAGGAAGTGTCTACATAAAATCTGAGGAAAAAATGAAAACTTTCAAACTGCATAAAGGTAAATGGAGAGCGGCAGACATAGCGTTGAATATGGGATGGAATACTTGGCACGCACAGTTCCATTATTGTGTGATAGAGAATGTGTTATACTGTTATCATTTCGGATATGTTACTTGGTATGACTTTATTGATAGACAATGGAGAAAAGTGAAGGGCTTGGAAAGAAGATTACCTGGCTCTCGTAATACTTATAATTATCGATTGGCAGATTATGGTGGAAAAATGGTGTTTTTGTGGGAAGAGGATGTGCATACTAAGAATGTTCAAAACACAACATTAGTAAATTTAGTTTGGTGTGCTGAAATTTCATTTGAAAGACGCCAAAGATCGGAGATATGGGGAACAATTGCATGGTGTGATGTTGTGTTTACCCATACTAAAATTTTTGAATTAGTGCATGTTATTGCTACTAATGCTTGATGAATGACTTGAGTTAGAGCTTCAGTCAACATGAGTTGAGTCATTAATATGTTATTCAAGTATGTTATTTTGTTTTGAATATGTGTATTATTTTAGAGTTTTCTACAAAAAAAAATAAACTCAGTTTCAAAATTTACCGTTAATTTACAGAAAATGTAAACTAAAGTACCAAGTCACAATTTAATATTAACACATTATATTAATATATATGAAATACTTTGTCAGTTTCAGTTTAAACTAGTTACAATCTAGTGCATTACAAACATGATCATTTTTAGCATGCATTCTGGTAAGAATAAAGATAGTCTTTTTGGGGATTTCATCAATAAATTTCATCAGATAAGGTGTGAAGGGGTTTGGAAAATAATTTATAGTTAAAATATGATGAATAGAAATACCACTTCATATTATGGTATTTTTTTTTATCAAACAAAACTTCCTTTTCATTTTAAATTTAAATCTTTTCAAATATTCTGAAATGCAAAAAAATACTGGAAAAAAATTATATTGACAAATAAAATAAAATAAAAATTTAACAACATTTTTTCCTTTCAATAGAAAATAAATTGAAGAATTAAAAAATATGGATTTATTTTTTCAAATAACCTAAAATATTTTACTCAAAGCCTCAAAACCCTAACAAAGACACCATGCATCATAAACCCCAAAACCAAATCTAAAAATCCCTCAAATTTTATAAAACCCACAGCTGATTGGCTTAAAAAGGGCCTTCCCAAAATCTTACAAATATTAAAATTACGGACATATCCTTCTATATATGTCTGTAATCTGTATTATATAAATGATTAATTAATAAGATTTATGATAATAAGATTTTAACCCAAAAAAAAAGAATATTTCTGTTCAGAAAAATAAGGACCCCAAAACACTATAAATAAAAAATCTATAATTTAGCACAAAACATTAACCAATCACATAAAGCTATAGAAAATTTAGTTAATGTCGTCAACAACTATAGCCTCGACAAAGATAATCTGAATCAGAGAATCACTAAATCGAACAGTTAGTTACTACAGTTTATGCTTGCTTCTTCACGATCATATATCAATTACAGGATGCCATCGTAGAAATGCAAAAAGTAAGTCCATAGAGAAGTCACCAAAGCCATTTCTCAGACGGTTAACGGGCTTCTGATACAGGATCTCTGGTTACAAGGAATACAACAATCAGTGAGCTCTCAATTGATACGATCATAAAGATGAATATATAAGCTAATAAGAAAGTTTCAATCGATGGATCTTACCAGAGAGAAAGCTATAAACTGAAGATACGAATTAGTGTTTTTAATTATGTATGTAGTTTGTGGTTTGGTAGTGTATTTACTATTTATACTCCCCTCTCCTGGTTTGGTTTGGTTTGGTCTGGTTTAAATGATTGGGCCCCATCTATTAAAACTTGAGCCCAAATTAAGCTTCTGACTATCCGAGTGTCTGTTGTTTGGTTCCTTGTCTTCTTCCTCGTCGGTTCTGTCGAAATCTCCAACGGAGATTCGTTTCTTTCTTCGTCGACGTTGTTCTCCAGACTCGTCCATGAAGGTTTGGTTTCTATTATTTATATATTTGTTCCCGTCAATCAAAGCAATACCGATCTTGGTTGATATTTTTCAACAAACTCACTCTTAAACTCCTTTCTTTATGTGTGTAATAGTTTTCTTAATTTGGATTTGGAGATGAGGCTTTCTTAATTTTTTGTTGGCAAGCTAGTTTGAGATTTGAGTTTGTTCATGTTTCAGTTTAATGTCTGAGTTTGTTAGTACTTTAATATATGAGTTTGTGTCTGATCTATGTTTCAGTTTAATGTTCTGTTTCAGTTTTGCTTGTCTTATTGACTTGACATGTATAACGTATGCTTGTCTGCTCTTCCTTCTTATTGCTTGTGACTTACCATGTTTCGTTTCAGTTTTTGCAGGTGAAGCTTTTGTGACAATAAGGACCTGTTGATCAAGTCTACTAACGTTGCTTTGTGGTGGTAAGAGTCTATCATGTTTAATTTGGTCATGCTAGACTGCAATGTGATCCCTTTTATTCTTATTTTTTTAACATCTCGTATCAAAAAATTAATTAACACTAACCTAGGTTCTTCAGCTTTCAAATCACCTTATTAACTCTTAAATTAATCTAAAGAACCCATAAAAGAGGTTCCAATGGATGGAGGTGCTCTTTAGAATCAGTTTACTGTTTGTTTTTGATTCGATTTTGAATGATTCTGTTACAGTGGCACGGTCACGAAATGGCGTCTGAGAAGAAAAGCTCGAGACTAGTGTTTGTGACGGTAGGAACAACGAGTTTCGACGCTCTCGTGAAAGCAGTGGTGAGTCAAAACGTTAAAGACGAGTTGCACAAAAGAGGATACACTCATCTTCTCATCCAAATGGGTCGTGGAACCTATTCTCCAACCAAGGTTCTTCTTGCCTCTTTGCTTTTGACTATTTTATTCACAGAATAGACAATATATGAATATTTTAAACTAAAAACTATTTATATATATATATAAATTTGGGGTTCTAAACTTGGGACTTTTATCTATGTAATTTTTTAAAATTATATATCTGATGTTATATCTTGTGATTCAGTGTGAAGGAGGGGATGGATCACTCTCCGTTGATTACTTCACATTCTCCTCAAGTATCGCGGATTATATTCGTTCTGCATCTCTTGTTATTAGTCACGCTGGTTAGTTAGTTTCAGACCTGTTTTTTTTAATAATGCTGGTAGTGTTATTGATTATGGAAGTGATGATGTAGGGTCTGGAAGTATATTTGAGACGTTGAAGCTAGGGAAACCGTTGATTGTTGTAGTAAATGAAGATCTGATGGACAATCATCAGTGTGAATTGGCTCAAGAACTTGAGGAGAGGAAGCATTTGTATTGTGCTCGTCGTCCTCTCACGCTTCATCAGGTTTTGAACAAGATGGAGTTGGAGTCTTTGGTTAGGTTTACTCCAGGGGATGGAACACCTGTTGCTCAAATCATTGACAGGTTTCTTGGTTTCCCTCATGATTAAACTGAATACATAAACAAAAAAAACATTTTCATCTGAATGTGCACTAATCTGGTGTATGTTCTGAAATAGTAAAACCTTTTTTCTAATGTTTTGAGAGAATTATTTCATATTCTAAAATCCTCTCACCTTTTACCTAATTTTTGCAACTGATTGAAGTTTGCACAAATATTTGCAGACTACACTAATGTAATTAAACTCTATTAGGTGATGTCACAAAATTAGGTTGAACCACTGGAAATGAAGCTTTAAATTATTAAATTCTAATTATAGGATGATCTTGTTGTAAATTGGGATGGTAAACAGAAACATTTCTATACATCTCTTTCGATATTGTACTGACGATAAAACATTAAAGCAAGAAAACATTGAAGCCCGGACAAACATCACAGCGTGTGGTCACCCGGGATTTCACATTCTCTCTCGGACGAATGATTTTTCAAATTAATCAGAAAAACTTGTAACCCAGAGAAAAAATAAACATTCGTAAAATGAACCATTAAGTTGAAAACATCAAAGAGAGACTCTCAAGTCTCAAACGTTACCAAAACTGTAAGAAAGCAAACATAAAACATTATTGCCTAAACCCAACAAACGAAAAATCCTCCAACATCAAATCCTCACATTCAAATAATCAAAAATAACAAACCAAACTAGAGCTTGAGGAAAACAAACTCCTCAACCGCTGGAATCTCCCCAATCTTCTTAAGAGTCTCCCTGCTCGGCTGATCATCTACACCAATCGCCATAATCGCTTGCTTCCTCGGTGCGATTCTTCCAACACTCATGAAATTAACATTAACGTTAGACTCTCCAAGAATGCTGCCAACAGTCCCTATCATACCTGGTTGATCCACCTGCCTGCACAGTATGATACTACCTTCAAGAGTCACATCCACTTCAAACGATCCAACCTTAGTCAAATGCGGGACACCATCTTTAACCTTTCCTTCCACTTTGACCTCTCCTGATTCAGACAAGGAACTCGCGAATTTCGACTCCACGTTTCCTAGCTTCACAGTTATAGTCTCCAAGGGGTTCTCTGGTGACCCGTCCAAGTGCACACGTTCCTCCGAGAGTCTTAAACCTCTCTGCTTGGCTGTGAAATCTGCGTTGACTAAGTTAACGTATACGTCAGAGATTGGCTCTATGATTCCCTTTGTGATCATGGCTCGTAGAAGTCTTGTGTCTAGATCGTCAGTGGCACGTGATGACGTGTATGAGACTTTCACGTTTTTAACGCCGCTTCCTCCAGCCACTAGTTGCACCGCTAGTCTCCCTAACTTCTCAGCTAGTATCACATACGGTTTCAGCTCTGTCAGAACCTGCGGATAGAAACTCCTTCATGTTACAATGAGAATCTAAAAATATTTAATATAACTTTATTAGATGATTAAATTTTTAATTTGGGTTTTTCACCTTCAAAATAATTTTAATATAACATTATTAGATGATTAAATTTTTAATATGGGTTTCTCCTCTTCAAAATAATAATATTTCAATATAACATTATTAGATGACTAACATATAGCAAAGAATTTCTAAAGTGGTTCTCAAATGAGATATTATCTCATAATTTTCTTTTAATTTTAATTTTTTGAAAGAGTGAGAAACTCTCTTACATACTCCTTTTGGAGTTGCTCTTAAAGTACTCACCTCAGCAGAAACCATAGGTGCATTGACTGCAGTAGCAGCAAGCTCTCCATTCAAAGCTCCAACAACAGCTTCAGCAATTTCAATGGCAACTCCTTCCTATCAAAACCCAAAAACACTAACTAAACAACAAAACCCAAACAGCAAAAAAAAAACATCATTAAATAACACACCTGAGCCTCCATAGTACTAGCTCCAAGATGAGGTGTCACAGTAACCCTCTCATGCTGCACTAGAGGACTATCCTCAGCCGGTGGCTCTTCAGTGAAAACATCAAGAGCAGCTTGAGCAACAATACCAGCATCAAGAGCCCTCACTAAAGCATCTTCATCTATCACACCTCCACGCGCAACGTTCACAATACGAACTCCTTTCTTCATCTTGGCGAAGGTCTCGTCGTTGAGTATCTTGGACGTTGCTGGAGTGAGAGGCATGTGGAGTGAAATGAAATCCGCGGTGGCGAGGGCTTCACCGAAGCCTACTAGCTCAACACCGATGGCTTGTGCGCGGTCTGCTGGCGCGTAGGGATCGTGAGCGATGACGCGCATGCCAAGACCTTTGGCACGACGAGCAACTTCTGTGCCAACTTTCCCGAATCCTAATACAGCAAGAGTCTTGCCCACAAGTGAAACACCAACATACTTGTTCCTCTTCCACTCCCCTGTTTATTCATTACAGAGATATTTCAGACAAAAGCTATCTACAAGTTAGTAAATATTACAGTCACTACCCACACATAAGAGCCATCAAACAAGATCTTTCAGAAAAAATTATCCACGAGTCAGTAATATTATATAACAGTCACTTCCACACATAAGAACAATCAAACAAGATCTTCCAGACAAAAATCTCAACGAGCCAGTAACCAGTGATCAAGAAATAGCTAGAAGGCAATTAGACACTTATGGGGGATAACTGATTATACGTATGCTTAGACCGATTTTTTGAACACCTGAACCGATTCTTTTGTAAAATCATTAATAAAAAAATCATTTGGTTAGGTCCGATTTTCCGCCTAGGCGGACAACTAGACCGATTTTTAAGTCAGTCCATACACATCTTCGAGACAAAGCTATCCACGAGTCAGTAATGTTACCAATGTTTAAGAAATTGTTAGGGGGCAATTAGACACTTTATAGGAGATTATTGATTATACTGGTAATTAGAAACTTTTTAATAAAATCATTCAAGAAAATGTTTTCTTTTAGGTCCAGTTTTCCCTGCCTAGACAGACTTCTAAACCATTACTTCACACACATCAAGTGAAATGATGGTTTACAGTCATTAATAATACAAAACTAACAAGTCAGTAATAATACTACAGTCACTCCATACACACACACACATACAACAACAACCATCAAAAACAAGTACGGAGCTTACCAGCCTTAACAGACTCATCAGCTTGAGCAACGTTCCTAGCCATGGCAGCCAAAAGCGCGATCCCATGCTCAGCAGCAGCGATGGTATTTGCCGTGGGAGCGTTCACCACAAGACAACCAAACTCCGTAGCTGCTTTAAGATCCACGTTATCAATCCCAACACCAGCACGTCCAACAACCTTGAGACGTCCACGAGACGACTCAAAAACCTCACGTCCCACTTTAGTCCCACTCCTAACGATCAACGCATCACAGAGAGAGATCTTGGTGTTGAGCTCCTCGTATGTCATGTTGTAAGAACAGTCCACGTTCCCGAAATCCTCTAAAAGCTTCACACCTGCGTCGCCGAGCTTCTCGGCGACGAGGATGGTTGGTTTGGATCCGTCTCCTGTTGTGCAGGAGACGAGGATGAGTCTGCGGTTGTTGTTGCGGGAAGGGAAGGAGATGGAGGAGGCTGAGGGGAGAGAGGATCTTGAAGAGAGGGAGAAGTTTTTGAGGGGGTTGGTGGCGAGGGAGATGGAGATGGAGGAAGAAGCGGCGGTTGACATGGCTACGGTGTGAAGTTGGAGAGGAAAATGTTAGTTGGTGGCACGAGAGGGGGAGAGAGAGATCTAAAAGGGTTAGAGAGACGACGTCGGCGTTTTTATAGGGGTTTTGTTGTGACAGACCCGGCCCTAAACTATTTGAGACCAGAAGTTCAAAATAAATAAAAGGCCGGAAAAATATACTATAGGATTCGAACTCAACACCTCTCTAAATTCTTCAGAGCAATTTACCAACTTAACAACAAAGGATTTTACAAAATAAAGACCAAAAATATACTAACTATAAAGAGGGCCGGAAGCAACTGCTTCTATCACTTCTCCTCAGGACCGCTACTGGTTGTGATCTCAAGCGCCTTTGTGGAATATTTATCAGCGATTGAAGGGGGAAAGCTTTTTTTTCTCGGACCAAAGCCTGATTAGAGACCAAAAGTATAATCTGAATCTTGTAGGAATCATGTGAAAATCGACTGATTATGTGAAGTGTGAACTATAACACATACGTCAGTAATTTAACACATTGGTTTAGCCAAGTCACGCGTGTGGATTTACTTTCTAGAGTGAGTATGGTTTTCGCAATTTCCAAATGTTTCGGCGAAAATAATTAAAAAAAAAACAATTGGCAGCTTCGAGCAAAAGTGTAAATTTATTTATTTACTATTTTTTGTGCAATTTATTGACTATAATTAATCAACTTTACTATTACACAAATTTTAAGCTTTTATATAATTTTAGCTTATTCAATTGAAGAAATCAAGTCAAATTGCTTTTTATGATTTTAGTAATGTTGGAGCAGGAGTTTTGGTCTATTACCTATAATTTATAAAACAATTCTACATATGAGAGATGTGACATGCTAAAATACACTGTAACTTAACAATAGACTAGTGCTTTTTGTTAAGCGATTGTCAATGGTAAAAACGGTTCCACTAATGAACGAGGTATTTATGCACTAGAGAGTTGCACTCTTTTAAAATTGAAAAATTGTTGAAGACTTCGTATTTGAAATGTATTTGAGTTGTACAGAGTGTACAACACTTCCAAAAGTAAATATCTGATTGTATATTACGTACAATGACTTTATTTAGTTGGTGGTCAAGTTTTACTGCAGATTATATATGTCTTACTCGTGAGGAATATTTGAAAGGATATACTGGTGGTTGTGACGTAAGTATAATTTATGGCACATGAAAGATTTGCATCTGCTTTAATAGGCATTATTTTTTTGGTAGGTCGACCTGTCGAAAACCACTTACTACTATGCAGCCGGGCATGCTTTATATATTGCTGAGTTTTCTCAAATAAACATATTTTAAGTTTAGCTTTTGTTGAAGAATTTTTTTTTTTAAAACTAGTGATACATGTGTTAAAGGTAATGTCAACTTACCATAGAAATATATTTGGAAAAAATATAACTTTAGATAGGCTTCTCCGAACCTGAGGAAAAAATACACAACACTCCTTGACCATCAGGTCCATCATAGTACATGCACAAACGCCAAACCATGTTCTTTGCAGAGAAACTAAAATAAAAAATAGAAAGCTGGTTTCTGATCTAGATGTGATTACAATCTGATCATGTTTGTGTTTGCTTTGCTTATTCAATGGCAAGGCTACAGTCAAACTGTATTATGTCATGCAATGAAAGAAAAATAGCTGAGTTGAATAGCTTTAGAATGTGTTGTCTCATCATGCTGCTGGGGTTGGCAGAGCTGAAGATGGATATGTTCGCTCGAGTTACCTCCAATGTCTAGACCATTTGTGAGAAGAGAAGTTTTGTTTGCGCTTTTCGCACCCTCAACCTCTGAAACCTACAAGTAGTAGCCACACTACATTATTCTCATGTTGTCGATTATTCAAAGATGATTCTGCCTCCTAAAATCAAAGGATACCTTCTTATGTAACTCCATGTTCTGTTGGTGCATAAGGTTTACTTTCTTGTGGAGGTCAAGATTCTCTTGGTGCACGAGATTCCCCTGCAACCATAAATATAAGAATTAGAAATTTGTTGGTAACATATAACAATAATGTGGAAATGCATAATCAGAGTCCCACCTCTCGGTTGAGTTCTTTTATTTCTTCGACTAACATTTGCTCCTACAAACGTCAATAAAAGAAAAATAATAGATATAGAGTACATCCATTATATACATGAAAACATTGAATTATTTGCCATAGCATCAATACCTTTTTCATTCGTACGTCACGAAGGCTCATCTCAAGCTGATTCTCCAGTTTCTGTAGATCTTCCACACTTAGTCCAGAGAGCTCTTCTCCCATCATTTGCCTGTCAATTACATGCTTTTTCCCCCATCACTTTTGGATATGAAAACTTTTCTAGAGTAATTATTTACCTTTCCTAATTCACCAAAAAAAGAAAAAGAAAGAGAGATAGGGAATGTGGAAGAATTTGGTTATTCACTTCTTGTGTTGGTCTACAACTCTAGATGTATGGAGATATAACTCACGAGTTTACGGAGATACAATGGTGATTTTGGAGAAGATATCCAGCATCATGGTATAGTCCTTAAGAGGTGGTAAAACAGTTTGGCATTTTATTGTTTTTAATATCGATATTCCTATTGAAAAAAATGCAAATGCCGGGATAGTTTTGCTTTTCCGCAAAATCTTATAGCCTTTGACATTTTTAGTACATCATGTCACGTTAGTATATAAAGTTTGACGAACTCAGAGGATGCAAAAACATACCGGTGGTTTTCTTGCAAGTTATGTAGCTGTCGCTTTAGAATCGCAGCCTCATTTTGCCAAAACTATAATATATAAAATTATTTTTTCAGGTGACTGAAACAGAGAATACAAGTTTTTTTTGCAGCATTAATATGTTATAATAATGCAACATAATTTATGTAATCTTAGGGTCATGTGCCCTGACGTGTATTTTAAGGTCTGCAAGTCCATATGAGAATATGATCAGCTTGAGATGAGTCAAAAGTTGAAACATGGTAATGAAGTTATAATAGACTAACAACATTATCAAGAGCATCAAGCAATTGTCTCTCTGTTTTACTATGTTACTTGTTTGGTTTATTCGTTTACTCGTTGAAATCCATATAGGGCTAATAAATAGTAAACCAAAAATACCTTGATTTCTGAAGCTGGGTTCATTTCCGAATTGGTGTTACCCTTTGCATCTTTGTATCTCTCTATTACAGACTTCATGCTGCCAAACAAAAAGAACACTAAGTTGTTTATCTTTGTAGGAATGTGTTTGGCAGGTAAGGTAACCCAAGAAACATCAACTGCAACATTTCTCCTTACATATTTTTAGTGTCAAAACTTTTACGTAAATAGATTTAGGCTACCCTAAGCCAACTTTGCTGGCATGGAAATTAATTCTCTTCACCAAAAATACAGATTAATTCGCCATACTGAAATAATAGCATGACGCATGAAGCTTAAGTAGAAAATGAGAGAAACGAGATAAAACTGTTGTACAAGTGGCCAACTCTAATCACCAAACCCAAGTTCAGTTATTATTGTTATCAGCTGGCAAGAAATGATTCTTCTGTATGAATTAATGAGACATAAATGTGACCTGAAGGACCCTTTAGCACCATTGCTTATTATATCTAATGCCCTCAATCTCATGGAACCACATCAACTCCTCTGAATCTATATTTACTTCTGAAACTTTTTTAACTCTATATATATTTTTTTTTTTTTACTTCAATAAACTCTTAAAGTAGAAAATCAGGACGGATTTTATGATGGATACGTATAATGTCTTTTTCCAAAAAAGAAAGTATATACTCCTATATATAAACTAAAAAGTGACCAAGTTGAGCATTAATATGGAATGGTTTCTTTCCAAATTGGATAAATTAAATAGGAAAAGTTGATAATGGATGACCACGAAAGCAGAAATGATTCTCCCACTAGTGTATTAATATATTAACCATTAGATAATGCAGCTCATTTTAGGTACATCAAACCCACCAACCAACTAGTTGCCAATAAAGAAAAAGTAAGTGGTGAAGAGAGACGACTCTTTCCAAAAACCTCAAATCAAGCTAAGAAGAGTTTATAGTTTCTTCTGCCCTACTAACCACTTTCTACCCCTTTTCCATGTGAATTTAGTTTATACTAAATTTAGTATAGTTTCAAGAGAGCACTACAAATCCACCTTATGATCTATACTCCACACAAATCTCCATCATTCTAGTCCTATCCAATTTACTTTTGTCCTTTCATGCATCTAAACATTATAACATACATAATATTCAAACCCATAAATCAAATTCTCATGTTCGGTTATAGAACTCATATAATCTATAACTCTAAACACGACCATACCAACTCACTCATATTCATTAGTGAACCAACCAAGTGATGTACCAATTTTTAGACATTGCTATCAGACTAAGATGGTGTTTATGCATTTTTCCGTGAATTGAATTTTGTGGATAACAAGAACAATGATAAATCGATTAGGAAAAAAAAAACTGGAGATTTAAATTGGTTTTGTGGTCAACAGAACAGTCAATGGATCATGGATGGAGTAATCAAGAGGCATCAAAAAAGTCAACCAAAGAGATAACAAGTGATACCTGGAGCTGGAAAAATCGTAGAGCCTGCCAGTGCTGGAGAAGATGATAACACCAACCTCAGCATCGCAGAGAATCGCAAGCTCCTTGGCTTTCTTCAACAACCCGTTCCTTCGCTTGGAGAAAGTCACCTGACGACTCGTGGAGTTATCGATCCTCTTAATCGCGATCTTTCCCCTTCCCATTTCTTACACCTTTCTATCCAAATCGATCACAAAAACATGGTCAAAAACCAATCCAGGCTGATGATAAAACTCAAAAATCAAAATATTTAAAAACATTACCGTTTTCAAAGAATCTAGTTGGAGAAAACAGATCGCGCGAGATCTGCTCGTGGGGAGGGAAGAAGAAATGTGATTTTTTTGATTGAAATCAGAAATAGAAATGGAAAGAAAGAGACAGAACAGAGAGTAGAAGAACCCACAAAAGGAAATAACATATGGCTAGTTTGGGTATTTAGGGCAAAAGTCTTCTTACTATTTTAAACATACATCACTTGTTGTTTCTCGACACTTGGCATGCTTTAAGTGGCTTCTTTTGACCTGTTTCTTTTTATTATTGCCATCAATAGTCATTTTAAATATTGCCTTATCGTACGGCATCAATAAAGAAGCATATTTTTTGTTTGTTTTATAATTAAAGAAGGAAAGAAAACAAAACCCTTGTTAAATGTATACGCCACGAACAAAAAAAAGAGCCCCAATAATTTTGAGCAACCCAAAGTGGAATTATTATTTTTCAACTAATTAAAATTTCTGAAACCTAGGATCCGGACAGAGAAGAAAAGCACCCAATTTCAGACAGGGAATACGGAATGGGTGGACACATACGTATCTCAAAGAGTATATACCTTTTCTGTGTATTATATATAATGTAGAGAGACGTACAAGAGACCACGACTGATTTTTTTTGGTTCAAAACTACGACTGATTAGGTGTAGCCCTTGTTCGGAAACTCGCTAGGCGCTACGCGTGCGGCGCATACGGGCCTAGCGATTTATTGAAAAATCGGGAAAAAATCGGGGAGTACGCGGGGAGGAATTTTTTGTATTTTTTCTCTATATAATATCTTATTTATACAAATATTTATGTATAATATATGTATATGTATAATATTGTTTATGTAAATACTTACCAAATTAAATCAAAAGTATAGTCCTATTTATTTCAACTCACAAAAAAAACAAATATAATTTAGTTACGAATGAAAGAGATATATAAAAGTTTTATAGAGTGGGATACCAATAAGTTAGTGTGGTCTGGTGGAAACATAACCCTTGTTAATTAGCAGCCGTGTGACTCATGTTCGATTCCCCAGAAGGTTTATTTTGTCTTAGGTTTTTAATTTAATGTTGAATTACAAACATCCCACATCGGTAGAATGTAAAGATGAGCTATGGAAGTCAGTAGTATAAATACAAGTGTGCTCTTTTCGAAAGAAGGACGCCTGCACACTGAAATAAAGTGAAAGCCCATCTTTCAGTTTGGGCCTAATCTAGTAGTTGCTATTATAAAATCGGTAATTAATCCGATTAAATAGCGATTAATTTAACTAATCGGACGATTAAATCTATAGCGATTTAATTAGCCGAGTTGGTACAAATCGCGGCGGGTAGCTTCCGAACAACGATTTTCCAGCCGCGTAATCGGTTACTCGCCCGAGTTTTAGAACAATGGGTGTAGCAAATAAGAGGACTAGTGTTCCAGGGTTAAATCTAAATCCATGATTATAATTGTTAAGGGCCTGTGCAGTAGAGCAACAAGGCCTTTATTTTGGGCCAGTTCTTCTAAATTTCTATCATATAATACTAACCTGTCACCAAAAATTGTTAAAGGCCTATGGCCAGCCCATTTCCTCCCCCATGTAACTGGAGCACATGTGTTAATGTTAAAGATTGGTGTTACCTTTTATTTTAGAAGATGGATTACACATAAGTACATAAATATAGACAGACGTTTTTCAAAAAAAAAAAAAAGAGAGATACATGACTTAAATTACAAGTATTGTAGGGCATAAATCGTTTTTGATTTAATCCTTTTGCCTTTTGGTATGCTTCTTAGTTCTTATCCTCGTACTTCTAATTTCACCGGTAGCAATTACACTTGTACATAAAAAGATTGAGTAAATATGATTATTATTTTCTTTTAGACTAGTATTTAAATATCTTGTCGTATATGGTTTAACAAATTGCGTGAATCTTGTATAATTACGTACCATTTTAAAAATCTGTTACATTTGGAGGAACGTGGAGCAACTTTATATACAACTTGTAAATATCATACAAATAAATATTGATTTGGAAATTGCTCTTGTCAACAATTATAAAAGAGGAAGAGAAATCATTTAAAAATGCCAAAAGTGTACATTAAACCTAAAAATTCTTGCAATGCTCGCTGGTCTGGTCCAAAAGAAGTGGTCACATAGCACTGAGATGTGTGTATCTACCAACTACACATTATTGACCAATCCTCAGCACCGAATATGTATCGAAAGTTATAATCAACAGCGACGGTCTTGTGTGTGAGTTATGTAATACATAGAAATTGAATATTTTGTCTACTAGTCCCCCACTAACTTAGCCTACTAGTTTGTCTAAGTCGTATGTTTAGTTCAATTTCGCTTTTAGACACTTTTTTATCGAATAATATTTTTTGGTTTATCAGATAGTCCCGGCTCCAACCTTAACAAAGGGTTCCAGGCCAGTAACTTAGCCCATCAAAGAAGTAATTCATAATTAAAAAAATGCTCAAACAAAGACGTTTTAATTCCAATATATGTATATGCTTTCACATGAAAAGCAGCGACAAGCCATTTTAAACGCTCACAAACAAACAGAAAATGGTATAAATCCGGTTTAAAAGAAGGAGAAAAGGTGATTTAGTTTCATGTTATTCAAGCCTCGAGTTTGCTTCCTTCAACATCAACCACAAACCTATAACGCACATCGTTCTTCTCGAGTCTCTCAAACGCAGTGTTCACATAATCCATCTTCACAGTTTCAATGATCGAACTCAAACCCTTTTCCTTACAGAACTCAAGCATCTCCTCTGTTTCCTTCATGCTCCCTATGAAGCTCCCAGTTATCACTTTCCTCCCTAATTAAAATCACCATCATAATCCAAATTAATAATCCTCAAAATTTTCATAACATTAATTATTATTATTATTTTTTTTTTTTTGAATAACCACTACAAGAAAACAAAGCATTTACTAGGAAATTTTACTAGGAAAATTCTTCCTCGTAAATTTACTAAGCCTTTACTAGGATCTTACGAGGAAAGCAAATTTCCTCGTAAGCTCCTCGAAAACTTACGAGGAAACAATTTCCTCGTAAGACCTTAGTAAATTTAGGAGGAGCTTACGAGGAAAAAGTACTTTTCCTCG